CACAAGGTGAAGAATGGGGCAGGGAGTAATAGACAGACGGGGAGTAGTGTGTCAGTAGGTTGTAGGCAGGCTACATCCACGGCACAAGGTGAAGAATGGGGCAGGGAGTAATAGACAGACGGGGAGTAGTGTGTCAGTAGGTTGTAGACAGGCTACATCCATGGCACAAGGTGAAGAATGGGGCAGGGAGTGATAGACAGACGGGGAGTAGTGTGTCAGTAGGTTGTAGACAGGCTACATCCACGGCACAAGGTGAAGGACAGGGCAGGGAGTTGGTGATAGGCAGACGGGGGTAGACGGGCTACATCCACGGCACAAGGTGAAGGACAGGGCAGGGAGTTGGTGATAGGCAGACGGGGGTAGACTGGCTACATCCACGGCACAAGGTGAAGGACAGGGCAGGGAGTTGGTGATAGGCAGACGGGGGTAGACTGGCTACATCCACGGCACAAGGTGAAGGACGAGACAGGGAGTTGGTGATAGGTAGACAGGCTACATCCACGGCACAAGGTGAAGAATGGGGCAGGGAGTGATAGACAGACGGGGAGTAGTGTGTCAGTAGGTTGTAGACAGGCTACATCCACGGCACAAGGTGAAGAATGGGGCAGGGAGTGATAGACAGACGGGGAGCAGTGTGTCAGTAGGTTGTAGGCGGGCTACATCCACGGCACAAGGTGAAGAATGGGGCAGGGAGTGATAGACAGACAGACGGGGAGTAGTGTGTCAGTAGGTTGTAGACGGGCTACATCCACGGCACAAGGTGAAGAATGGGGCAGGGAGTGATAGACAGACAGACGGGGAGTAGTGTGTCAGTAGGTTGTAGACAGGCTACATCCATGGCACAAGGTGAAGAATGGGGCAGGGAGTGATAGACAGACGGGGAGTAGTGTGTCAGTAGGTTGTAGACAGGCTACATCCACGGCACAAGGTGAAGGACGAGGCAGGGAGTTGGTGATAGGCAGACGGGGGTAGACTGGCTACATCCACGGCACAAGGTGAAGGACGAGACAGGGAGTTGGTGATAGGTAGACAGGCTACATCCACGGCACAAGGTGAAGGACGAGACAGGGAGTTGGTGATAGGTAGACAGGCTACATCCACGGCACAAGGTGAAGCACGAGACAGGGAGTTGGTGATAGGTAGACAGACTACATCCACGGCACAAGGTGAAGGACGAGACAGGGAGTTGGTGATAGGTAGACAGGCTACATCCACGGCACAAGGTGAAGGACGAGACAGGGAGTAGAGAGATTGGGAGTAGTGTGTAGTGAGGCGGGCTGAGGGACGAGGCAGGGAGTTGGTGATAGACAGACGGGTGTAGTGAGTCAGTAGATCAGGTTTGCAGACAGGCTGAGGGACGAGGCAGGGAGTTGGTGATAGACAGACAGGTGTAGTGAGTCAGTAGATCAGGTTTTCAGACGGGCTGAGGGACGAGGCAGGGAGTTGGTGATAGACAGACGGGTGTAGTGAGTCAGTAGATCAGGTTTTCAGACGGGCTGAGGGACGAGGCAGGGAGTTGGTGATAGACAGACGGGTGTAGTGAGTCAGTAGATCAGGTTTTCAGACGGGCTGAGGGACGAGGCAGGGAGTTGGTGATAGACAGACGGGTGTAGTGAGTCAGTAGATCAGGTTTTCAGACGGGCTGAGGGACGAGGCAGGGAGTTGGTGATAGACAGACGGGTGTAGTGAGTCAGTAGATCAGGTTTTCAGACGGGCTGAGGGACGAGGCAGGGAGTTGGTGATAGACAGACGGGTGTAGTGAGTCAGTAGATCAGGTTTTCAGACGGGCTGAGGGACGAGGCAGGGAGTTGGTGATAGACAGACGGGTGTAGTGAGTCAGTAGATCAGGTTTTCAGACGGGCTGAGGGACGAGGCAGGGAGTTGGTGATAGACAGACGGGTGTAGTGAATCAGTAGATCAGGTTTTCAGACGGGCTGAGGGACGAGGCAGGGAGTTGGTGATAGACAGACGGGTGTAGTGAGTCAGTAGATCAGGTTTTCAGACAGGCTGAGGGACGAGGCAGGGAGTTGGTGATAGACAGACGGGTGTAGTGAATCAGTAGATCAGGTTTGCAGACAGGCTGAGGGACGAGGCAGGGAGTTGGTGATAGACAGACGGGTGTAGTGAGTCAGTAGATCAGGTTTTCAGACGGGCTGAGGGACGAGGCAGGGAGTTGGTGATAGACAGACGGGTGTAGTGAGTCAGTAGATCAGGTTTTCAGACGGGCTGAGGGACGAGGCAGGGAGTTGGTGATAGACAGACGGGTGTAGTGAGTCAGTAGATCAGGTTTGCAGACAGGCTGAGGGACGAGGCAGGGAGTTGGTGATAGACAGACGGGTGTAGTGAGTCAGTAGATCAGGTTTTCAGACGGGCTGAGGGACGAGGCAGGGAGTTGGTGATAGACAGACGGGTGTAGTGAGTCAGTAGATCAGGTTTTCAGACGGGCTGAGGGACGAGGCAGGGAGTTGGTGATAGACAGACGGGTGTAGTGAGTCAGTAGATCAGGTTTGCAGACAGGCTGAGGGACGAGGCAGGGAGTTGGTGATAGACAGACGGGTGTAGTGAGTCAGTAGATCAGGTTTTCAGACGGGCTGAGGGACGAGGCAGGGAGTTGGTGATAGACAGACGGGTGTAGTGAGTCAGTAGATCAGGTTTTCAGACGGGCTGAGGGACGAGGCAGGGAGTTGGTGATAGACAGACGGGTGTAGTGAATCAGTAGATCAGGTTTTCAGACAGGCTGAGGGACGAGGCAGGGAGTTGGTGATAGACAGACGGGTGTAGTGAGTCAGTAGATCAGGTTTTCAGACAGGCTGAGGGACGAGGCAGGGAGTTGGTGATAGACAGACGGGTGTAGTGAGTCAGTAGATCAGGTTTGCAGACAGGCTGAGGGACGAGGCAGGGAGTTGGTGATAGACAGACGGGTGTAGTGAATCAGTAGATCAGGTTTGCAGACAGGCTGAGGGACGAGGCAGGGAGTTGGTGATAGACAGACGGGTGTAGTGAGTCAGTAGATCAGGTTTTCAGACGGGCTGAGGGACGAGGCAGGGAGTTGGTGATAGACAGACGGGTGTAGTGAGTCAGTAGATCAGGTTTTCAGACGGGCTGAGGGACGAGGCAGGGAGTTGGTGATAGACAGACGGGTGTAGTGAGTCAGTAGATCAGGTTTGCAGACAGGCTGATGGACGAGGCAGGGAGTTGGTGATAGACAGACGGGTGTAGTGAGTCAGTAGATCAGGTTTTCAGACGGGCTGAGGGACGAGGCAGGGAGTTGGTGATAGACAGACGGGTGTAGTGAGTCAGTAGATCAGGTTTTCAGACGGGCTGAGGGACGAGGCAGGGAGTTGGTGATAGACAGACGGGTGTAGTGAGTCAGTAGATCAGGTTTGCAGACAGGCTGAGGGACGAGGCAGGGAGTTGGTGATAGACAGAGGGGTGTAGTGAGTCAGTAGATCAGGTTTTCAGACGGGCTGAGGGACGAGGCAGGGAGTTGGTGATAGACAGACGGGTGTAGTGAGTCAGTAGATCAGGTTTTCAGACGGGCTGAGGGACGAGGCAGGGAGTTGGTGATAGACAGACGGGTGTAGTGAATCAGTAGATCAGGTTTGCAGACAGGCTGAGGGACGAGGCAGGGAGTTGGTGATAGACAGACGGGTGTAGTGAGTCAGTAGACGGTTTGAGGCAGGCTGATGGACGAGGCAGGGAGTTGGTGATAGATATAGTCTGGAAGGTAATTTAAGGTACCGACGTTTACTACAATATCTGAAAAACTATCGGACCTACTCCAGTCAAAGTTGGTATGAGATTTTTAAACAGTCATACATAACTGGATATTACAATTAAAGACAATCGGTGCATGAATAAAATATCTGTCTATTTAGCTATCACTATATTTCATCAACAACCAGACCTGTTCGTCACGGGTGAAATGAGCATTCATTGAAACAGCCATCTGCATAATGCTACCCCTGCGTCACAGGGCCATATGAAACAGTTGAACCAATCAACTCATCTCGAAAGGTTGCACGGGAATCACACATCATACGGTGTTTAGCGTGGGGCGTCTCAACGTGCGTGATTCCCGTACACCCTTTCGAGTTGAGTTGATTGGTTCAACTGTGTCATATGGCCCTGTGACGCAGGGGTAGCATTATGCCGATGACAAGTTGAAATATTGTTATGAAATTCAGAAGTTAGCAACTTGATTCCAGTGATGAAAAAAGCAAAACTATTCCTGCCAGATTCTTGTATATTTTGTGTCTGTTACAAATGCATTCAATCTCATTGAAATCAGATCTTAGTTCTCGCTGCCGCTTAACAAAGATCTGAGGACATCCCATTACGGGTCACAATTACTGACAATAAGTCGACATTAGCCAATCAGAAGGCAGCTTTCTCATGCTTTACGGCACTAATTTTAAATTGGCGAAACATATTTTGAAAAATTCTTGCTTAAAAGTTTGAAACCTGAACAAAAAAACATCCTCGAACGGCTAATATATGGTCTAGATTGTATAGATTCAGTCGTTAAGCCCGTAACTATCGTTTTTGAATATTAAAATTTTTTAGGCTGCATGATTAGAAATCATATTCAAACTGTCACTTTCATGATCTGGTAAGCGACACTCTGATTGGTCGGATGAAAGGTCGTTCTGACGTGACCCGTAATGGGATGTCCTCAGATCTTTGTTAAGCGGTAGAGAGAACTAAGATCTGATTTTAATGAGATTGCAAATGCATTGTGACCATAGTAACATTCAACAAAAGGGCAGACAATTACAAAGTTGTCAAAATTGTGCAGGGGAGGTCCGATGTCAGGGGCCCTTCTCATTATACTTCATTACAAATTACAGATGAAAGAACGTATGCAATAGATTGTGGTATGTATCAAAATAAAAGAATAATTTTTGCGTTAAATTGCATTACGAAAGACAGGCAAATACCCTTCATGTAGAATTGAGTATGATACACTGAATAATGGAATTGGCCATGTCACTTTCCAGAGTGCATCTTGGCAAGTTGTCCGACTTCCTCACCACATCGTGTGTCACCAAGCTCAGTTTCGTCCGGGACCTGGACGACCCAAACCAATGTAAGTCTCCTCCTTCTGGAACACTGGAACCTTCCAACCACAAAGGAGTGGGGACCTGTTGGAGAGTTATAGTTTCTTGTGCACTTAAGGACTGACCATTGGATATTTTCTTGGGGAGGGGGCGGATTTTATCGATTATGCTTCTGCATGGTGAAAAACAAATTGCCTGCCACAACAATTACATTGTTGCATTAAGGTGGTTTTCTTAAAAAAGAGTTTCTAGGTTTGTCAGCACCATACCTGTGCTCGTGGGTTTCACCGAAGTGGTAAACGTCTGAGACCTGCATCACTTCGGGCTTTCCTCCCACATTAAGCTGACAAGCCGCGATATAACTGTAATACTGTTAAAAGCGGCGTTAAGCCCAACTCACTCACTCACTCACTCACTCTTAAAAAAGAATTCAGAAACATAGTTATAAATGAAAAAAACATATGGTTTTGTAGAGTTAGCTGAAAAAATATCTTATAAATCTTGATACGAAATCCCAGAGCCCCTTCCCACCATCATGGAATGTTGCTTATGATACCAATCACTGGATTGTCTAGTCCAGATTTGATTATTTACAGGCTAATCATATAACTGGAATATTTATGATTGTGGCATTAAACAACAAACAAATAAACAATTAAAAAGAATCCTTCTATAGAGGCAATGAAAGTTAAGAATGTATCAATGAAGACTATGTATTCCTGCAGGAGCTCTGGAACACTACCAGAACATTAACAGAGCACACGCGGAACACACACGGAACATCTGCTGTCTGTTTTAGGTGAGGCCACAGTGATGCAGTTCATCGGTAACATCATGAGCCCTACCTGTCCACGACCTCACCTTCTGTCCCGCACCCGCAAAGGTCGTGTGCGCAAGATACAGAGGTCACAGTCAGTTCATGGTATTGTACGAAGGTCAAGGTCAATTCAGATTGACCCAGATCAAGTACCAGGTAAGATATCCTGCATTCTTCGTTTGGTTTATAGTTGGAATGAATTTAGATTTAAGTTCTTTTTTGTTCATTTATTAGTGATATATTTGTGTCAGAACATAAATTCTGCTTAATGAAATGTGCTAGTAGGTTAAACAAAACTTGTTTGATAAGATGATTTAGATTAATTTATATCAGTCAAAGTGACCAAAGATTTTCGAGATATGCACATTACCGGTATTCAATTTGGTTTATCAACTTAGAAGGTCAAGGTCAAGTGGTGACACCAGGACGTGGTGATTATTGTCTTCAAGTTCAATGCTTATGTCAGCTTGCGCTATCTCCTGTTACTGCTGAGTTTGTGATGAAATACTTTTAAGGGTGTAACATTAATACAGAATGCAAGACAGATGAGACATTTTAGACTTAACACATTGAAACGTTTATTGCGTTAGATGTTAGGTGCTGTCTTGTGTCTTTCATCCCTGTTGGGATTCAGGGTGGGGATTCCGGGTGGTGATTTATAGTGGGGATTCCGGGTGGGGATCCGGATGGGGAATCCAGGTGGGGATTCCGGGTGGGGATTCCGGGTGGGGATCCGAGTGGGGATTCCGGGTGGGGAATCCGGGTGGGGATTCCGGGTGGGGATTCCGAGTGGGGAATCCGGGTGGGGATTCCGGGTGGGGAATCAGGGTGGGGATTTATAGTGGGGATTCCGGGTGGGGATTTATAGTGGGGATTCCGGGTGGGGATTCCGAGTGGGGATTCCGGGTGGGGATTTATAGTAGGGATTCCGGGTGGGGATTCCGAGTGGGGATTCCGGGTGGGGATTCTGGGTGGGGATTCTGGGTGGGGATACTGGGTTGAATTGATCCCCAGCAAGCTATGCTGGTCGTAAGAGGAGACCAACTGGATCGGGTGGTCATGCTCGATGGTTGATGGCAAGTACATTGTACAACTATGGTGTGGATTGTAATTCACAATATCAATCACTGGATTCTCTGGTCTAGATTCGGTTATGTAGAGGCCGCAGTCATATGGCTGGAATATTGCTGAGCACGGCATTAAACCACAAACAAAGAGTGTCTTACATTGCAAGGTAGATAGACATTTGTGATGTTAGGTTTTAGAGTCCTGCTGTCTTCATCCAACTCCTCAATAACACGAGCATGTTCTTGACTATACACATACATGTCTTCATGGCAAATATGCAAAAATAATCGATATGCATCTGGAATGTTTGCACTAACTTTGCATTGCCTGATGCTAGTCTCAAGAAATGCAGCTTCAGATTAAAAATTCCTGAAAACTACTTCAAAATAAATAAAACTAACATGAGCTGCTGACTGAGAAATTAATGCTCCAGCATTCATGAAATATCGTATTTGACGTAATAAGTGCCCAGTGTGCATTCAAAATTAGAAATAGGGGGCTCTTATCAGAATATTATTTTGGTGAAAAAACACAGAGTTGAAAGATAAATTTCGTGGTTTATGCTGACAGCCTGAAATATTTACATACGACAGATATATTTTTCCAGAATTTAAATGCCCATAATTAAGGGTGAATATAACACACGAGTGAGTATTATACACAAATAAATGAGTCTTTTGCACATTGACCAATCGGGGTGCTAATTGGGATTGTTCACTAGCCAATATATTAGCAAATATCGCTGTGGGCGCTTATTAGAGCGGGGCACTTATTACATCGAATACAGTAATAGCTTACTTTATGTTGTCTAAGTTCACATTGTTGCTGTTAGCAGCAGCATAAACAATACCTCAAATCTTAGTTTATTAAAGTTATTACAGATTCTGTGGGGGACCAGTGCTGTGTGGTTCCATGTCAGGTTCAAAGCATATTTATAGTCATTGGTTTCTGCAAAAGTAAAAACTAAAGGGCAGGAAAAGTGGGAATTACAATTTGAAACTTCAGTTGGAACAATATCTGTCATAAAATATTCAGTACATCACAGGATGTAAAACTTGGTTGGTTTCAATACAAAATTACCTCAGGAATTCATACCTATTTTTTTCTGTATATACTTAATTATGTTCAAAATGATCTGCTGGTCCTTGTCACAATGAAAAGGAAACAATTACTCACTTGTTTTGGGAATGTGATGTAATAAAACTATTTTGGGATGAAGTGCAGTGTGGACCAGTGCTTTCATGTTTATAATAGGACATTTTGTGAAGAATTGATACTTTTTGGAGTTGAAGAGAACATAAAAATGGTTAAAGTGTTCAATTTACTTTTACTTATTGCAGAATTCTATATTTATAGATGCAAATTCCAAAATACAAGACCTTATTTCATGTTTATTAAAAGGAATTTATCTCACAATATTATATTGAAAAAGATATTGCTTTCAAGACAGGTAATCAGCAGAAATTCTTTGGAGCTTGGATGCATGTGTCATTAACGTTTTGAAAATAAGGAGCAGCTTTCATTTTAATTTTAGTTTTATGCTTAAGACTTTAATAACAAAACATCACACTTACCGGTATTACACAAAGGATATTTGAAAATCCATTTAAAAGATCATCAGTATATTATTAGATTTTTTAGGGTCAAAATCGTAACACATTTGAACACATTGAACAATGTAGTACTTTTGTTTATTAAAGTACAATATGGCTGATAACGCAGCCATATTGATTTTATGCAGTGTCTGAAAAGGTAGGATTTGTATGTAAGATATCAGGTAAACAGTTTCCAAGATTACGGTAGTCAATGTTGTCCTGCTTACTCTCAGATAATGTAGAGAACCCATTATGCATTCACAGTCCATGTTGAAAGGATATACTGAAAACAAAGTCATGTTTCCCTGTAGGGGTTAGACAGTAATATTAGTCAGGGGGTAGAAAAGGTTTTCAGCAACCAAAGACGACTATGCTTGTTGTAAGAGGCGACTAACAGGATCGGGTGGTCAGGCTCGCTGACTTGGTTGATGCATGTCATCCTATCCCAAATGCGTTAATTTAGGCTCATACTATCAATCACTGGATTGTCTGGTCCAGACTCGATTATTTACAGACCGCCTTCATATGGCTGGAATATTGCTGAGTGTGATGTTAAACAACAAACAAATAAACAATCAAAGTTATATTAGTGGAAAACTTGTAGAATGTACCATTTTACATGTTGTAAGCATCAAATCTCTCCAAACAAATCACAAGATTTCATAAACTAAATAATGTTGACACATCTATTATATATTTTCTGCACATGCAAGTCTATAATTGCAATTGTTAAAAAACAGTTATTTAAAACTCATTCCAAAATTCAATTTGTTGAATTCCATTCCTAAATACTATGACACATATATATGTACTATAGTCATTTTTTTGTTCACTTGATTATAGTGTATGTAGATATTTGCTGTACTAACTAGGCAGGAATGTTGACATGAATAATGTGTTTTTGCAAGAAATCCATGCCCAGTTGGAAAGTTTACAGCCCAAAGTCAGTAGCCCTAGTACAGGTAGGTATTAGTCGGGCAGTGCATGACCCCTCGGTGCCTCTGGGGTGGGGCTGAGGGGACAGGCAGACCCCCACTGCCCCTGGGGGTGGGCGAGAGCATGTGCTTTGACACACTGAAGCAGGCATGTTTTCTACTCTGCCTTCTAGTTCACTACCTTTCCATAATTCCTCTAAAACCTTTCTACTGGGAATATAACAGTTTTGAGGTGAATATAAGAATATTAAAAAACAATAACTCAAACACGCAGAAACTAATAGTATACAATTGTATAGTGTATATATATAGTTTGTGTTGTAATTTGTACAAAGTGTTGTTTTGTTAGTGTATCTGATTATGATCACTATTTCCAAAAATATTTTTTGATCATCATACTCATGTAAAAAAATAAGGGAACACTTCAAACACCTCGATAAATATCTTCTACAGTGTTCAGTAAAATAATGTTTGTTTGTTGCAACAGACGTCAGTGAGGATTGGACTGTATTGCCAATCTCCGACTTCTTTTATATTCAGAATTAAACACTATAAGTGTGGAAGGTAATTTAAGGTACCGACGTTTACTACAATATCTGAAAAACTATTGGACCTACTCCAGTCAAAGTTGGTATGAGATTATTAAACAGTCATACATAACTGGATATTACATTTAAAGACAATCAGTGCATGAATAAAAAATCTGTCTATTTAGCTATCACTATATTTCATCAACAACCAGACCTGTTCGTCACGGGTGGAACGAGCATTCATTGTAACAGCCATCTGCATAATGCTACCCCTGCGTCACAGGGCCATATGACACAGTTGAACCAATCAACTCAACTCGAAAGGGTGCACGGGAATCACGCACGTTGAGACACCCAACGCTAACACCGTATTCGTGCGTGAGTGCGTGATTCCCCCATACCAACTTTGACTGGAGTAGGTCCAATAGTTTTTCAGATATTGTAGTAAACGTCGGTACCTTAAATTACCTTCCAGACTATAAACTCCCTTCTCAATGTTCCCTTATTTCTTTTCATCAGTATATACAGGATTTCCTTTTTTGATTTGTGTGTGAGATTTAAGAGGAATTATGGTTATTTAGATATTGTAGAAGTTTCACTCCCTCGTATCTCTATATATCTTTCCTAGTATGTTCACAATATATGTGTGAATTTCCAATATTAACACAGGCGTCTACAATCCTCTCTCAGTGGTGGAAATACAGTCAGTCTGTGAAGCTGAAACGATTGTAACTCCTCAACTTTTAAAAGTAATACTGTGTCAATACTAACCATGGTAACCAACTTTTTTCTGGATATTTAGCTGTTTTCTGTTGTTATTTTCAACAGTTCAGCACAGAATTGACTAGGATATCTGACATGTCTCCAACACTGGGTACATCTTGATTCCAAGTATCTTTCTTTGGGCATAATATTTACTTTCTGTTATATAAAACAAAGAGTGTTTTTTTAAAACCCAGCTTCTTTAGCTACATAATTTGTATTGTTTAACTTGATATTATGTAGTGTGGCGATGGAGTCCTCAAAACCTGATCTGAATATGTTGCCATGTGTATAGTGGTGCTAAAGCTTAGCCCTTCAATCTTGTCCTATTGCGTGCCATTTTTTTTGCGGTGAAAACATATGGGTTTTTTTCAATGAAATGCACAAATAGTGTTTGATTAGTTTTTTAATTATAGTTTCACTTTACAACGGTGAAGGATTGTTTCACAATCTGATCATCGTGATCATAGATGTTTCCTAACTGCTTCTCTGTAACCTAGGAAACATGGTGCAGGTGACGCTTTGTTGTCACGATCAGAAATAAAGTAGCTTTATGAAGAAATCTTAGAAACCAAATCGTCAGGAATCTGCACCGCTCCCCATATATTTTGATGCTGTCACATTTAAGCACAAACTGCTTCTGTGTTAATCCTGCTTGTTCTGCTTCAAGAGCTGATAATGCTCTTTACCTACGTTGCCATATTTCCCTGTTGGAAATTCCAGTAAGCAAGTCTTAACCCCTGTCTTGGTCGAAAGATATGACTTGATTTGAACTGATAGCAAAACAAACATTATGTGACTGTCCATGTATGGTGTATCTCTGGTCTCTGTTTATTCATATATGTCACAAGAAATAGTCACGTTCAAGGTCGCTGAGTGCAGCCACAATACTGTGGCAGGGATTTGCTGGAGACAAATAGCATTGGGACATTTACCTGAGTTATGAACTCTTGATAGGACACTCGTCCAAATCTCTACCAAATTTGAAAACTATGTGTGGGATATGGAAGCCCAACTCATGAACTGATCTGAAACTATACTCTAGTAAGCCCAATTCATTAAGCCCAACTCATGAACCGATTTGAAACTCTACTCTGGTAAGCCCAACTCATAAACCGAACAGTGTCACATTGAATAGTGTCACATAGCGTCACATTGAATAACGTCACATAGTGTCACACTGAATAATGTCACATAGTGTCACATTGAATAATGTCACATATTGTGACACTGAATAATGTCACATAGCGTCACATTGAATAACGTCACATAGTGTCACACTGAATAATGTCACATAGCGTCACATTGAATAACGTCACATAGTGTCACACTGAATAATGTCACATAGTGTCACATTGAATAATGTCACATAGTGTCACATTGAATAATGTCACATAGCGTCACACTGAATAATGTCACATAGCATCACACTGAATGTCACATAGTGTCACATAGCGTCACATTGAATAATGTCATATAGCGTCACACTGAATAATGTCACAGTGTCACAAAGTGTCACATTGCATCACATTGAATAATGTCACAAGTATCACACTGAATAATGTCACATAGTGTCATATTGAATAATGTCACAAGTGTCACACTGAATAATGTCACATAGTGTCACACTGAATTATGTCACATAGTGTCACACTGAATAATGTCACAGTGTCACATTGAATAATGTCACATAAGGTGTCACATTCAATAATGTCACATTAGCTGTCACATTCAATAATGTCACACTAGGTTTCACATTCTCTTATGTCACACAAAGTTTCACATTCATGTCACATTTCATGTGAAATTTGGCATCAATGCAATAATCTCTCTTTCAATAATGTCATAAATATTGCCTAAATACATCAATGTCATAATGCATACAGCATGGTAATTAGTTTGGCTTCATTTGGACATGAATGTTTTGGGGTATATTTTCTTTGCTTCATTAGGGCTTTTCACTTTGATTAAATCCTGTTTCATATCGTGATGATTGCATGCTTTTGTATGTAGAACCATTTATCTCTACTTGTTGCTGTGGAGACCTTGAGAACATAACAGATGGAACATCACTTCCTTTTGTGTTCATGTAATGTTCACATGTTCATGACATGTTCATGATGTGTTCATGACATGTTTGTGACATGTTCATGACGTATTGATAATGTGTTCATGACATGTTTGTGACATGTTCATGATGTATTGATGATGTGTTCATGACATGTTCATGATGTGTTGATGATGTGTTCATGACATGTTTGTGACATGTTGATGACGTGTTGATAATGTGTTCATGACATGTTCGTGACATGTTTGTGACATGTTCATGGCATGTTTGTGACATGTTCATGTGTTCATGATGTGTTCATCAATACCTTTTAATCTCTCAGAAAACTGTCTAGTCATAAGGAGTGTTCAAAAGTAGTCCACTAGTCTGAGAGTAGTAAATCAACTGAATTTTCTTGTGGACTACCACTTTGGTGCCCGTGAAAATACGGGTTAGAATAGATCTGGATTTTCTGGTCCAGACTTGATTATGTACTGACCGCCGTCAAAAAGCTGGAATATTGCTGAGAGTGGTGTTAAACAAACAAACAAACAAAACCACCCCGGCAATCATGCAGATCATTTTTGTCTTTCCAACCATGATAACAGGCCCTGTCGTCTGAGGTGTCACAATTCACTGTGCAGTGTTGCATCCTTTGGGCATGCCAGAAACCTAGGATCGTGGGTTCACTCTGATTATGTTTCTAGGGTTGTCAGCACCACACCTGTGTCCGGCTCCTCCATACACGGCAACTTGCCAAATCCTGGCTACAGTTTGACGTGTGTGGAGTGCCCGTAAATGTATCATACGAACCCGGGTAAATAGATAGACTGAAATGTACCCTGGTACAAGACTAGGGGACCATGGTCAGGAATAACTCCATCAGCCAAAGTAATATTGTTGTCTTTGTTAGTATAGTAAAGGGTCATGTCACCCTTACTTTATCTTAGATTTGCAACAGTCATAGCCGTACAATTGTTTGTGGATGGGGCCCTCTTCTGCAAAAATGTGTCCCCCACCGGGATATTGCTGGAATATTTCTAAAAGCGGCGTTAAACCATACTCACTCACTCACTCTGCAAAAATGTGTCCCCTGCCGTGATATTGCTGGAATATTGCTAAAAGGGGCATTAAACCATACTCACTCACTCACTCTGCAAAAATGTGTCCCCCGCCATGATATTGCTGGAATATTGCTAAAAGCGGCATTAAACCATACTCACTCACTCACTCTGCAAAAATGATCTCAGCTCTTCAGCTGTCATAAGCGTTGGCTGTACCCAAACTTCCTCTAGTCATAGCACACTGATCAAGCCAGGAACCATACTCACTGAAGCATTTTGTACTCTGATTGTCATATCTTATAAAACAAAGATGTTCGATAGTCATGGTGCTTTGCATCAGTGTTGAAACATTCTGATGTCAGTGTCAGTTTTGAGAGATTCCGATGTCAGTGTTGAAACATTCTGAAGTCAATGTTGAAACATTCTGATGTCAGCATTGAAACATTCTAAAGTCAGTGTTGAAACATTCTGATGTCAGTGTTGAAACAGTCTGATGTCAGCATTGAAACATTCTAAAGTCAGTGTTGAAACATTCTAAAGTCAGTGTTGAAACATTCTGATGTCAGTGTTGAAACAGTCTGATGTCAGCATTGAAACATTCTAAAGTCAGTGTTGAAACATTCTGAAGTCAGTGTTGAAACAGTCTGATGTCAGCGTGGAAACATTCTGAAGTCAGTGTTGAAACATTCCGATGTCAGTGTTGAAACATGCTGAAATCAGTGTTGAAACAGTCTGATGTCAGTGTTGAAACAGTCTGATGTCAGTGTTGAAACAGTCTGATGTCAGCGTTGAAACATTCTGAAGTCAGTGTTGAAACATTCTGAAGTCAGTGTTGAAACATTTTGATGTCAGTGCTGAAACATTCTGATGTCAGTGTTGAAATATTCTGGTCAGTGTTGAAACAGTCTGATGTCAGTGTTGAAACATTCTGATGTCAGCGTTGAAACATTCTGAAGTCAGTGTTGAAACATTCTGAAGTCAGTGTTGAAACATTCTGAAGTCAGTGTTGAAACATTTTGATGTCAGTGCTGAAACATGCTGAAGTCAGCGTTTAAACATGCTGAAGTCAGTGTTGAAACATTCCGATGTCAGTGTTGAAACATTCTGATGTCAGTGTTGAAACAGTCTGATGTCACTGTTGAAACATCCTGAAGTCAGTGTTGAAACATGTTGAAGTCAGTGTTGAAACATTCTGATGTCAGTGTTGAAACATGCTGAAGTCAGTGTTGAAACGTGCTGAAGTCAGTGTTGAAACATTCTAAAGTCAGTGTTGAAACAGTCTGATGTCAGCGTGGAAACATTCCGATGTCAGTGTTGAAACATCCTGAAGTCAGTGTTGAAACATTCTGAAGTCAGTGTTGAAACATTCTGATGTCAGTGTTGAAACATTCTAAAGTCAGTGTTGAAACAGTCTGATGTCAGCGTGGAAACATTCTGAAGTCAGTGTTGAAACATTCTGATGTCAGTGTTGAAACATGTTGATGTCAGCATTGAAACAGTCTGATGTCAGTGTTGAAACATTCTGAAGTCAGTGTTGAAACATGCTGAAGTCAGTGTTGAAACATGCTGAAGTCAGTGTTGAAACATTCTGATGTCAGTGTTGGAACATTCTAATGTCAGTGTTGAAACAGTCTGATGTCAGCGTGGAAACATTCTGAAGTCAGTGTTGAAACATTCTGAAGTCAGTGTTGAAACATGCTGAAGTCAGTGTTGAAACATTCCGATGTCAGTGTTGAAACATTCTGAAGTCAGTGTTGAAACATGCTGAAGTCAGTGTTGAAACATTCTGAAGTCAGTGTTGAAACAGGCTGATGACAGTGTTGAAACATTCTGAAGTCAGTGTTGAAACATTCTGATGTCAGTGTTGAAACAGTCTGATGTCAGTGTTGAAACATTCAGAAGTCAGTGTTCAAACAGTCTGATGTCAGTGTTGAAACATTCTGATGTTAGTGTTGAAACATTCTGAAGTCAGCGTTGAAACATTCTGAAGTCAGTGTTGAAACATTCTGAAGTCAGCGTTGAAACATTTTGAAGTCAGTGTTGAAACATTCTGAAGTCAGTGTTGAAACATTCTGAAGTCATGATGATGATGAAGAAGCTGCAGGATGGGAAATAATGTTTTTTTAACTGTTGTGGTTTCAAGTTTTGTTGCTGATTTGTTTTACAACTTTTTCTTATAACTGTTTCTCTGGTTGTGCAGTGAGTCCAGTAAATGATGAAGGTATCTATGTCACTTCTGTTGGTATCTGATAGTCTGTTGTGACTCTTGTGTAACGGAGAACACTCTCAAAATACTGAATTGATATGTCAGTAATAATTTTGATACACAGATAAAAGATAGCTTTCAAAGATATGTAAATATTATTTTTTGAAAGTATTCTGTAAATACATTATTTGCATTGCTAATTTTCAAATTTTCTTTGATATTGTTATCATTTAGATCTGACGTCCAAAACCATCATTGGAACCCGTTTTTGCAAATATTTTCAATCGAGAATATATTAAGTGTATTCTACAAAGTATTTGAGAGTGTTTGGTAGTTTTCTTAGAAACACAGATCACTTTGTGGAAAGACAAGCACTTGCTATTGTTTTGGTTGTCTAGTGCCAGGGTAGTACACCTTTTCCTCTGTGTAGCACATCAATCAAGCAATCAATCAATCAATCCATCAATCAATCCATCCATCAATCAATCGATCGATCGATCGATCGATCAATACATACATAACATGTATTTGCCTTGCTGTATATTTTTATCCGTTGTATAAGGGTTTTATTTAACACCTTGGTGAAAGATATACTACTTAACAACAATAAGGGCCACATGATTTCTTCATATCATGTCATGCCTTGACAGATTATAGTTACCGTGTATCGCTGTGTATAAGGCGAGTTTTTCGTACCTAGAATGAGGGGGCTAAGAAGGAGGGTCGTCTTATACACAGATTCGAAGATCTCACATTTTCCAGTTGTTTCACTTTCAGCTTCCACTGGCGATGTCAACCGGCGTTTGATAGCCAGCCCAGCATTTGACAATAAAACTTCGCATTTCGTCCGAAATAACTGTTCCAATAACTATTTCCAAACATCATTCCAGGTCGCTTTATACATGGAGTATAGGATTTGGGGTCGATTTTGAAGGCGTGTATAGGGGGGTCATCTTATACATGGGGTCGCTTTATACACAGCGATATACGGTATATGAAACAATCAGATGATCCTCATTTTGAGTAGAAGATATTAACTAATATCAGCTGCAATTCAGTTTCTTTTCGTATTAAACCTCGATGAACTTCTGGCCCACTATCTCCCACTATCTCCCACCACTGTATTGAAATGTTGAATTCATACCATGTGCCAGTGTTTTCTTAATGGATTAATGCAACTGATCGTTTGGTGTACTTATGTATTCGACGTAATAAGCGCCCAGGGCGCTCTCAAAATTAGAAATATGGGGCTCTTATTAGAATATTATTTTGGTGGAAAAAACAGAGTTGAAAGATACATTTCGTGGTTTATGCTGACGGCTTGACTGTTTATATACGACACATATATTTTTCCAGAATTTAATTGCCCATAATTAAGGGTGCATGTAACACACGAGTGTGTATTATAGACGAATAAATATGTCTTACGTACATTGATCAATCGGAAGGGGTGCTAATTGTTCACTTGCCAATATATTAGCAAATATCGCCGTGGGCGCTTATTAGAGCGGGGCGCTTATTACGTCGAATACAGTATTACAAAGGGGTTTGTTTATTGCGGTGTGTTCCTGAGTCTCACCCAATCCAAGCATTGTCAAGTCTGGCTGTTTGGGAAACTCAAGTTTTCTTTCAAGTGATCTTTGTTTGTACAAATATGTAATTAATAACTTCAATATTCATGTAACAAAAACGTTTAAAGGATTCCTCGTAGCAGGGAAGTTTGAGAGAAGTTTGGAAACACAAACCAAGGGCGTTGTTTAGTAAAATAAACAATCAAAAACATTTATTTATAAGGCTTTTTGTGTGTGATATTTTCTTCATAATTGCCTTGAGGAAATCTTTAAATTTGTTTACAGTTTTCTGAATATATTCCCATTAACTTTGTTTTTGATGTTTCTTGATTCAGAGGTAGTCTTTAGCAAAGACGTAGTTTTTACAAATGACCTAAAATGGAAATGTGGTAAGAAATTTTGGAACTTTACTATTCATTTAACTGTTTAAATAGTTCACAAATTCAAATTCCTATGAAACCAAGTTGAAAGAGGATACAATGATTTGGACACCTCGTCATTGTAACGCCACAGTTGTTTTCCTCGCACCTTCTCTGAGTCAGAGTCAGCTCAATGTTCAAAATTACGTGGGGTGGTCAGGTAGCCTAGTGGTTAAAGTGTTCGCTGGTCATGCCAAAGAACCGGGTTTGAGTCCCGACATGGGTACAATGTGTGAAGCCAATTTCTGATGTCCCCTGTAGTGATATTGCTGGAATATTGCTAAAAGTGGTGTAAAACCATACTCACTCACTCACTCACTCACTCACTCACTCACTCACTCAAAATTGAGTGGGTCCTTGATCCATAAGCTTTTCTTCAAAAGTGGAGTGAGTGAATGAGTTTGGTTTAACGCCACTTTTAACAGTATTCCAGTTATATCGCGGCGTGTCAGCTTAATGTGGGAGGAAAGCCCGAAGTGATGCAGGTCTCAGACGTTTACCACCTCGTTGAAACCCACGGGTACCTAGAAACATAATCGGGGCGAACCGGGATTCGCACCCACAATCATAGGTTTCTGGCGTGCCCAAGGGACGCAACTCTGCACAGCGAACCGCGGCGCCTTAGACGACTGGGCCATCAGTTCCCCGCTACTATAGTGGAACCACTTAGATTTTAACTTTTAACTTTAGGGCAATGACAATGAATCTTTGACTTCCATTATTCATTTCGAACACTGCAACCATTTTCCTACCTGACCGGGGATCTGCCAAGTTCAAGTTTCGACTCTGTTTGAGCTGATGTTTTCGAAAAGTCTGTTGTTCCCCGAAGAACTTCTAAAGACTACCTTTGATGGTAACAGCATGTATTCTATGCATGTGACTGACCTTTGCCTGTTTGTTTCCGCTAACAACGAAGTGGGCAGTCGTAGTGTCAATAGTAGCGTGTCCACGAGTCCTACCTCCTCCTGCAATGAAGATCTTGGTACAGTACTCTTCCTTCAACACCACTTCCTTCGTGTCTCACATTACACACACCCAACAAGCTGACATTGATAGGCCACACTTTTGAACTTTATTATTCACAAATATTTGCTAAGAAGTTAGCTTGGGTATTGTTTGAAATAAAAATAAATATGTCCAGCTCAATATTTATTTTATTTGGCATTAAGGTGTTTTATTTTGGTTGGATTAATAAGTAAACGCTGAATCTGTTTGAAATGCAAGATGTTTATTATTTTGATAGTTGTGTTATTTACTTCTGTAAGAGAGTTTTGTTCTCTTTCTTAGGTGTAGTAGCCAGGAAATACGATTTAAAACGTTGGATTAAGTGTCATTCAAAATGTTATTTGTATATTTTCATTTTTCTAATCCATCAAAGATAGTGTTCGGGCATATAGAACTAAATTTAAGCTCTTTTGATTTATTTTTCTGATTCTGGGTTTATCAAGTTTATGATAGTCGTGGATGTGTTCTTATGAGTGACCGGGGTAGAATGTTTCCCCATTACACAATATATTGCAGGTCGTAAGAGGCTCTTTCCCTTGACCATGAGTAATTTAGAACACTGACATGAATCCCCAGTTTCCATAGTAACAAGTAGACACGTTTCATGCCCTCCATGTTTCATCTAAAGACACCCCATCCCCATCCCCCCCCCATACACCCCCTCCCCCAGTGCCATGCCCTCTACCAATCATACTCATGTGTTTTGCAGGACTGTTCTGCTTGTGTTGTAATCTGTCAAAACGTGATGTAACTGACAGTGACAATGAAAGACAAGGACCGTATGTTGTTTGATTGGAATAGTTCAGTAAGCAAGCTGCTATTCTTTTCTTTACATTTTTTGTATGATTGGATCTGAATTTTTTCGTTCGTCGTTCATAAAACAATAACTTGAATAATTCCTTCTCTGAACAAGGACTAACATACATATTAATAATGATTTTACAGTCTAATGTTAACAGTTGTAATTTTCATGATCTGCATTTATATATTCGATTTTAAATGTAAATATGTGTCTTTGCTAATTACCTAATTATCATATACTTTTATAAATACATTCAGTAGAATCATATTGTTCATTATTTAAGTTATTAACATAGCTGTAACTGTGTTTAAAGTAGTTAAATATGTATTTCTTTTTAAAAAATGTTTCTGCTGCTTGTTTTTCTTCTTTTTGTAGTGTTTTGTGTGTAGAATATATAGAATTAAACATCCACTCTCTTAATTGCTTTTGTTGAAGAACATTGCTTTAGCTGATGCTTGCCAATTTTAAATCTCATTAAACTGAATTTGGAGTTATCTTGTTTGGTATGAGTTATGAATGTATGTACCAGTCTGCTGTACTTGTCATAAACAACGACTGAATGGAGATTGGTTGTCAATATGGTTCAGCACAAAGTCCATCACAGGCTCTCTCTCCTGTCTCTCCACAAAGTCCATCACACGCCCTCTCTCCTGTCTCTCCACAAAGTCCACCACACGCCCTCTCTCCTGTCTCTCCACAAAGTCCATCACACACACACACACCCCTCTCTCTTATCTCTACACAGTCCATCACACACCCCACTCTGCTGTCTCTCTACAAAGTCCATCACACACCCCACTCTGCTGTCTCTGTACACAGTCCATCACACGCCCTCTCTCCTGTCTCTCTACACAGTCCATCACTCACCCCTCTCTCCTGTCTCTCTACAAAGTCCATCACTCACTCCTCTCTCCCGTCTCTCTACACAGTCCATCACACACCCCTCTCTCCTGTCTCTCTACACAGTCCATCACTCACCCCTCTCTCCTGTCTCTCTACACAGTCCATCACACACCCCTCTCTCCTGTCTCTCTACACAGTCCATCACACGCCCTCTCTCCTGTCTCTCTACACAGTCCATCACACACCCCTCTCTCCTGTCTCTCTACACAGTCCATCACTCACCCCACTCTCCTGTCTCTCTACACAGTCCATCACACACCCCTCTCTCCTGTCTCTCTACACAGTCCATCACTCACCCCTCTCTCCTGTCTCTGTACACAGTCCATCACTCACCCCTCTCTCCTGTCTCTCTACACAGTCCATCACTGACACCTCTCTCCTGTCTCTCTACAATGTCCATCATGCACCCCTCTCTCCTATCTCTGTACACAGTCCATCACTCACCCCTCTCTCCTGTCTCTCCACAAAGTCCATCATGCACCCCTCTCTCCTGTCTCTGTACACAGTCCATCACTCACCCCTCTCTCCTGTCTCTCCACAAAGTCCATCACTCACTCCTCTCTCCTGTCTCTCCCACAGAGTTCCGTAACCTTCACATGCACCTGAAGGAGTCGAGGGAGAGCCTCCACGCACCCCCTAGCAGCAGCCCCCTCGGCAGCCCCCAGGCCTCCCCCACGGGTCACCGGAAACGTCTTGTGGACACCCAAGAGGAAATCAACATCACTGAGCTGGTGGACACACTGTCCCAAACTGAGAACCTGCAGGAGCAAGCTGACATCATACACTACCTGTACATACAGAAGTGAGTACACGCTTGCCTCTTACATCACTAGTGTTTTATCCCTTGTTTCACCAGGTTCTTATACTGGAGAATGAAGGATGTTGAAGAGTTTGTGTGAGGTGGAGGTGAGGTGAAATGGGGTTTACCGTTGTGTCCAAGATTATTGCACTTATAGCTACGTGAATGCATATGTGTGTGTGGCTGCTTGTACTAGTCCTGACTGATGCCGATTTATAGTGCTAGCACACTGAGATACCATGACACAGTTTAACATGAATACCCCACTCAGACACAGTATACTGACTTCGAGCTGACCAGTCCTTGTTTTAGCCCCTTAATGCTGGGCGCCAGACAGGGTAACAACAAGTACCATCTTTTAACGTCTTTTGGTATGGCACATCCGGGATCAAACCCCAGACTCTCTGCTTTCTGAAAGAACGCTCTACCACTAGATTACAGAGGTGGTCAAAGAATTGGGGACTTTGCTAACACTGTGGCATCATACACCAATATTGTGACATTATTCTCCGATGTAGTGGGTTATGCTATCAACCACTGCTTTGTCTGCCCAGCTGTCTGTTGCCCAGGTTACGGGCAAATCATCACTATGGGGACACTTTGTCATGTCGTTGTAAGTACTAATGCTTGTTTACAGAGGCCCTGACTATGATACCAAGATCGGCGAGGACACATGCACTGTCAAGCAGCTGCTTACAGAGTTGTATGAGAAGGTGAGACACAGTCTTATATGACCTGTTGATAGATTATGGACCCGTCATTAATTACCTGATTACAAGTAGCTCGAAGTTGCTGAACTGATGTCAGATGTGACCTGTAGGTAGGACGTTGCTGACCTGATGTCAGATGTGAACTGTGGGTAGGACGTTGCTGACCTGATGTCAGATGTGACCTGTAGGTGGGACGTTGCTGACCTGATGTCAGATGTGACCTGTAGGTAGGACGTTGCTGACCTGATGTCAGATGTGACCTGCAGGTAGGACGTTGCTGACCTGATGTCAGATGTGACCTGTAGGTAGGACGTTGCTGATCTGATGTCAGATGTGACCTGTAGGTGGGATGTTGCTGATCTGATGTCAGATGTGACCTGTAGGTGGGACGTTGCTGACCTGATGTCAGATGTGACCTGTAGGTAGGACGTTGCTGACCTGATGTCAGATGTGACCTGCAGGTAGGACGTTGCTGACCTGATGTCAGATGTGACCTGTAGGTAGGACGTTGCTGATCTGATGTCAGATGTGACCTGTAGGTAGGACGTTGCTGACCTGATGTCAGATGTGACCTGTAGGTAGGACGTTGTTGACCTGATGTCAGATGTGACCTGTAGGTAGGACGTTGCTGACCTGATGTCAGATGTGACCTGTAGGTAGGACGTTGCTGACCTGATGTCAGATGTGACCTGTAGGTGGGATGTTGCTGATCTGATGTCAGATGTGACCTGTAGGTAGGACGTTGCTGACCTGATGTCAGATGTGACCTGTAGGTAGGACGTTGCTGACCTGATGTCTGTGTTGTCAGGCGGGACACTGGAAGCAGTGGTGGCTGGTCCGACACACAGCTGGGATGCTGAGGAAGAGAGTGGAGGACTTGGCCCTGGTAAGGTTAAACATCATCATCTCTAGATAGGGCAGGCCTCACACGGAACATCATTGCACTTTATGGTGAAGTCCGAGATTAAATAAAGCCATAAATTTGTTTGTTGTTTAACCCTGCACTCAGCAAGATTCCAGCTATATGACAGCAATCTGCAATTATCGAGTTTAGACCAGACATTGACATCATAAGCTCCTATGTTTGCAGTTCGGATATGATGACATGCATCAGCAAGCCTGATCACCCGATCCCGTTCGTCGTCTCTTACGACAAGTATAGTTGCCTCTTACAGTCAAGGGTTGCTAAAGACCTTTTCTCTACTTGGAACTTCATGTGTCTAAAGACCTTAGTAATGTTGACTGTTGACAGATGGTTGTTTGCACCATTTGATATTGGTGGGATTCCAAATCCTTTCTCTCTCAGAGTGTGTGGGTTCTAAGTATGCCTGGCTATAACTGATGTCTGAACTGTAAGTTGCTCCCAAGCTATGATAATAATTTAAGGAAAGGTGTTTCAGATTATTAATGACTACAACCACTGGAAAATAACTGTTAAGTCATATACATGTGTGATTTTCCATAAGTGTTGAATGAAGGCTTGCCTTAGAGACCAAAATGTGGTATTTCTTCCTTTGAATATTAATGAATGACACAGTGATCTACCCCTCTGTCCAGGCTGCCACAGACTTGTTGGTGAGACAGAAACAGCTGTCCGTGGGCATGCCCCCCGACAGGGAGAAGATCATCACCAGGTAGGTGACTAGACACAGGTGTGACATCACCAGGTAGGTCTGACTAGAAACAGGTGTGACATCACCAGGTAGGTGTGACTAGAAACAGGTGTAACCTCACCAGGTAGGTCTGACTAGAAACAGGTGTGACATCACCAGGTAGGTCTGACTAGAAACAGGTGGGACATCACCAGGTAGGTCCTACTAGAAACAGGTGTGACATCACCAGGTAGGTCTGACTAGAAACAGGTGTGACATCACCAGGTAGGTCTGACTAGAAACAGGTGTGACATCACCAGGTAGGTCTGACTAGAAACAGGTGTGATATCACCAGATAGGCCTGACTAGAAACAGGTGTGACATCACCAGGTTGGTGTGACTAGAAACAGGTGTAACATCGCCAGGTAGGTCTGACTAGAAACAGGTGTGACATCACCAGGTAGGTCTGACAGGAAACAGGAGTTGACATCAGCAGGTAGGTCTGGCTAGAAACAGGTGTAACCTCACCAGGTAAGTTTGAGTGGGAGGTGCTAAGTGATAAGCACTTCTACAAATTTGATTAAAACTACAGTTGAACCATAATCATTTTAAGCATGGATGGCATTCTTTGCAGACATCTATTCCATCTGTAAATGAGTTGATACCTTCAAACAAGTAGAATGGGTTATTGCTACAATGAATATGGTAATCACAATCGGAATGTCTGTTTCAGTCCACTTCCCCCAGAGGAGCTGGCCTCCATCATATTTGATGCCTGTGGAGAGGACACCAGCACTGCTTCACTTACTCAGGTGAGAGACTAGAGCATTACCAACAAGCAAAGTGAGTGGGTATGGTTTTACGCCGCTTTTAGCAATATTCCAGCAATATTATGGCTGGGGACACCAGAAATGGGCTTCACACATTGTACCCTTTTTCGAATCGAACCCGGGTCTCCGGCATTACAAGTGAACGCTTTAACCACTAGGCTACCCCACCACACCACCAACAAGCTAAGAGGTATCACTGAGTATCTTCCCGAATGAATGTTATGAGCCCTGAGGCTTTGCATTTTGGCACGTGAGGGACATTTGGTGTTTCCAAATTTCGAGTTAGTTGTTCTATAAATTACTGACTGTCAGTTTATGAAAAAAATAAAAATAAAAACAGCCCGACAATTAATTTCACTGAAGTCAGCCTATAGTGCAGATGACATACTTTCAATTTGTGATGTCACAACCAATGGATGTCATATCGTATTGTGTTTTTCAGTGAGTGAGTGAGGTTTTATGTGGCCGTATCAATATTCCAATATCAAAACTCCCTTTAACCCTTTAACATAGACATACAGCAGTCTTAGTGCTTAGATTGCTTTGTGCAAGCAGGCCCAGACCTGATCTCCATCCTCCATGTCCCTGAAGATGATGTTGCTGGAATAGTTCTAATTGATGATTCGATTCCCGACATGGGTACAATGTGTGAAGCCCATTTCTGGTGTCCCCCGCCGTGATATTGCTGGAATATTGCTAAAAGCGGCGTAAAACCGTACTCACTCACTCACTCTAATTGTTGATTGCGTCCCTTAGGCACGCCAGAAACCTATGATTGTGGGTTCGAATCCCGGTTCGCCCCGATTATGTTTCTAGGTTTGTCAGCACCATACCCGTGCTCATGGGTTTCACCGAAGTGGTAAACGTCCGAGACCTGCATCACTTCAGGCTTTCCTCCCACATTAAGCTGACACATCGTGATATGACTGGAATACTGTTAAAAGCGGCGTTAAACCAAACTCACTCACTCACTCTAATTGTTGAGTTAACCTCACTCACCCCTTCTGTTCAGTGACCTTGACTTTGATAAGCTGTCCTAGTATTTCATAAGAAACACTGTTTGTACAGAAACAAATGTTCCTCCAAGATACAAATACAGTTTGTGAACGGTAAGCTGTGGACCCATTAGCTCTATTTGTAAGGTGATACACATTGATGCCGTTTGACAGTCTATGATTAAGGACAGGTAATATGCAGAAATTCTCTCAATTTTTGTGTACATGTACTTTCAAGTAGATCTATGGCAATTGAAATATGAAATAAGTATGGTTGCCATGTTTGTTTTAAAGTGAAATGTTAGAAAATGTTTTGAAAATGTCCACAATTCATGTTTCCAGTGTTTAATTTTCAGGAGCTGCTAATCTATCTGGCAATGTTTATCAGGACAGAGCCAAAACTGCTCCACGAGATGCTGCGTCTTCGTGTCGGCCTCATCATACAGGTGATGGCCATGGAACTGTCTCGAACACTTCAGTGTACAGGTCGGTCACATTACATCACATCATGTTCTGCACCGTCAAGGGCGGTCACAATATATTACAGCTAGTTTTGCACCAATTCAAACACTTGCTGAGAAAAATTGTCCCCCATCACCCCATGCTTGTCTGTCTGTGGGGATTCCTGGGCAGAATAAGTCACCATCACCCTATGCTTGTCTGTTTGTGGGGAGTCCTGGGCAGAATAGGCCTCCATCACCCCATGCTTGTCTGTCTGGGGGAGTCCTTGGCAGAATAGGCCCCCATCACCCCATGCTTGTCTGTCTGAGGGAGTCCTTGGCAGAATAGGCCCCCATCACCCCATGCTTGTCTGTCTGGGGGAGTCCTTGGCAGAATAGGCCCCCATCACCCCATGCTTGTCTGTCTGGGGGAGTCCTTGGAAGAATAGGCCCCCATCACCCCATGCTTGTCTGTCTGGGGGAGTCCTTAGGAGAATTGGCCCCCATCACCCCATGCTTGTCTGTCTGGGGGAGTCCTTGGCAGAATAGGCCCCCATCACCCCATGCTTGTCTGTTTTGGGGAGTCCTTGGCAGAATAGGCCCCCATCACCCAATGCTTGTCTGTCTGTTGGGATTCCTGGTCAGAATAGGCCCCCATCACCCCATGCTTGAGAACTGACTAGAATGAGGATCAAATGGTTACAGTGTGTGATCTGGCTGTTACTTACCATAGTGCCCAGATGGATTACTAGACTGTTTACAACCAACACTCAGATAACTTGTCATGAAGTCAGGATCAGCAGACCTGATGAACTAACAAAGAACTGACTATTTATTCTGCTATTGATTTCCAGGGGCCACGTGTGAAACCAAGGACTGTGGGTTTGAATCCTAGATTTGCGCTTATTATATTTCTTTGGTTGTCAGAACCATACCCTTAAAGCTTACTCGTGGATATCACCAAAATGGAAAACATACAAGGGCTGGTCAAAAAGTTCTGAGCCTAACAAACAAAACCAACAATTGTGAAAGTTTAACGTTTCAACATTATCTCCCTGCTTTTCAATACACTTCTCATATAGATAGTGAAGCTTTTCAATTCCAGCCAGGAAGAAGTTTTCCGAAGCCAACCTGAAATCCATTCACGGCAGAGTTGAGGTCATCGCTAGGGCACTTATCCCCATACACTTATGACATTCGGTCATGAATTTCTTGGGGAGTACTTTTCTCTAAAGTAAAAAACTTGATGACTGCCCTGTACTCGTTCTTTGCCATTTCTGTGTCCATCTGGACCCCTATCACGTTTAACTTGCTGTCACCAATATACAAACGGCCTCAACAGACCAAATACACTTGCAATGGACTCAAACAATGTACTACATTGACTGGTTCACTTTGTTATGGCCCATGGTTGAAAGTTAGTCAATCTTAGAACTTTCTGACCGTATAAGATCACTCCAGGGTTTCCTCCAACATCAAACTGACACACTGTGATAAAACTGAACTACCGTTGAAAGCAGTTTTGAGCCAAACTCACTGAACTATCACCTAGGCTAGATATGCATCCAGAAGCATTGTCCGAAATGCCAGAGTTCCTCCACCATTGTCTTGTGTGTCGTGTTTACAAGTAGTACTTACTGGTATCTATGTATTGTACTGTTGCAGGGGAAGAGGCCTCAGACTATCTGTTGAATCTCAGTCCCTTTGAGATGAAAACTCTACTGCATCACATTCTCAGTGGCAAGGAGTTTGTCATCAGCAAAGGTAGGTAACTCTTCATCCTTCTATATGAAAATGGTGAAGGTGCAAATAGGCCTTCTTGTGCCCTTTAATCCAAACAACTACAGCTACAAAGTGGAAAACGTTTAGATAACAGTGGAATATTAATTCCAGTTTTAAAAATACATATTTATGCATAAAAATATTTCATTAGATTCAATTTGTATGCTATGACTGTGGCCTTTTATGTAGAAATTTATTAGATTTCTTCACGTAAGAATTTATTGTACGATTATCAGTATGCCAACATTGTACATGTATTATTACTCTCAAGTACAGTAAATATTATACTTGAACAAATACTTATGGATGTGTATTTACCATGTTAAGGTCAAGGACAAAGTATGATAGGGCTTCTTTAGCCTACCAGAAATGTAAATGTTCCGGTTTAGCTTTAAATATATTTTTCGTCCTGTTTGTCCAGACTTTATCTACCTCTCCCAAGAAATAGGAAACTCTTGTTTATGTTCAATTAGACAAACGCTTCCTGAAAACACCTAAACTCACCCTTTTGAACCATAATAACCTTACTTAGTCATGTAGACTTTTTGAAAGGCCCATACATCCAAGTGTTGAAATGAAGAAAACTTCATATTTCTACTGAACAAAAAAGTCAGGGATCATGAATTACTTTTAGGGGTATGTTTAGGAAATTGTGAGCTCGGTTTTCACTACAAAACAATATCCCCAAAACTATTCGTAATCCTTGACTTTTTACATATTTGAACACATCTGATAACTTTCATAGTGACTTACAAAGGTTTTTCTCATTTCTTGAGTTTGCATATCCAGTGGTCTAAAAGGGTCTCTTATACGTTGTCCTTTTCTGATTTGCTTTTTTATTGAATGTTCTGCAGAACATATAATATATATTGTGTTGTATATGTTCATGACACCTTGATGTTGGCCTTTTCATCATTAGCTTGTGATGACTCCATTATTACTCTAACTCACTGTGTTGTAACACATTTAGGTTTGATCAGTAACTGGACTTTGATCCCCGGCACGACAAACTAATTCTTATTTGATCCCCAGCATGAAGAACTCGTTCGTATTTCTCCTCATGAAGGTGCGGGCTAGAAATGGTCCTCAGCAACCCATGCTTGTTGTAAAAGGTGACGGGATCGGGTCGTGAGGCTCGCTGCTTGGTCGATGCATTTCATCTTAACCCAACTGCGTGGATTGATGCTCATGATATCAATCACTGGATTGTCTGGTCCAGAACCGATTATTTACAGACCGCCGTCATATAGCTGGGATATTGCTGACTGCAGTGTTAAGCAACAAACCAACAAACAATTCTTGTTTCAGCATCTGGCAAGATTCTCTTTGAACTTAGATATAGCAAACACGTAGGTTTTTGTTCATCTTTTTTTTCTTGCGGTCAAGGTACACTCCAAGGGTGGTCTTCATAATCTCTGACAGCATTTCAGTGGATTCTAGGTCTTGAGCAATCTCATTAAAATAGATCTTAGTTCTCGCTACAACTAAACAAAGATCTGAGGACATCCCATTACGGGTCACGTCAGAACGACCTTTCATCCAACTAATCTGAGCGTTGCTTACCAGATCATGAAAGTGACAATCGGAATGTGATTTGGACCTCGAAAACTTTAACAAGGGGTATTCCGAACGATAGTTACAGGCTTAACGATTGAATCCATACAATCTAGACCAGCTATTAACCATTCAAGAATGTTCTTTTGTTCAGGTTTCAAATTTTTAATCGAGAATTTGTCAAAATATGTTTCGAAGCGTAGTTGCCAATTTAAAATTAGTGCCGTAAAGCTGCCTTCTGTTTGGCTCATGTCAACTTCTTGCCAGTCATTCCATTGGTCAGTCAAAGTTTGCGCAAGGCCGATCTGACGTGACCCTTAATGGGGTGTTCTCAGATCTCTGTTTACCAGTAGCGAGAACTGAGATCTGATTTTAATGAGGTTGGGTCTTGATCTTCTTAAGTATCATTTTGGACTATTTATTTCTCTAATTGGTTTCAAAATGGTAATACTGTCACCTAGTAACTTAATTTTTTGGAAAGGTTTAATAATGAATCAGGAAAGTGAGAACTTGTATGAATATTGGAATTTGAAATAAGAAACACTCTGAATGAAGGCGAGATTATGATGACGATGCTGGCTAACTGTGGCTGCCGCTGATCGAACTGCACAAGCATATTTTGCTATATTAATGCTCCTCTGCCGTAAGGAAAATAGGGTTGGGGTGAGGTGGGACAAGTTTTACTAGATTGATAAATTTATTCAATATATGTAAAATTTAAAAAGAAAATTTAATTGACTTCCGCGTTTATGTTAAATATTGACTTTTTTATTGACATGACACTGATTTCACTAATATTGCTCAGATAATTGGGGATGTTTGATCAAAAGAGGAATCGTTTTCAAATTTAGTACAAAGAATTTTTGAAATACTACTGTATATGTAATGTTTCATTAACAATAAATAAAACACATTGTTTGGGTGCCTATTTGAAACCTGCATCAAGTTGTCCTTAGAAAAGAAAATTAGAAATGAAATGGGTATTTTTAAAGTCCCTTTATCATCACTTGGCTTCAGTTAACTCAGAGTTTAAACTCACCATTTCTTTTGCATCTGTGTTGTGTGCATGATGCACTCCAGTCTACATCACTGCTAGACTTACTACCACGTTCCTTTTTCACTTCTACAATGGCACAGCTATCACATTTTTTTAACATTTTCTTGCAGAATATAAATATAAAGTTCCATGGCACTAACATTAATATTAAAATATTTTTCTTTCAAAAAGGTTCTCAAAACCATTTTTCCTCATCACATTATAATAAAATGCAGCTATGATTCACGAAATATTGTGTGTCTGTCTATCAGTGGTTGGCCGGAGCGTTGGTTGCCACCTGGCTACTAACTTCCATTGTCTAACCTGGTGTTGTGCATTGTGCTTGTGTTTTCTCTCAGTCCTCCACGACCATGAAGACGAGAAACGACTCACCGTCAAATCTAAACAAACACGAGAGGAAACAAAGTCATTTGCTCGTCTCAGTCAAAAAAAGGTTACAGTATACATCTTAAAACCGACTCTGTGTCTCCATCTCATCATCGACATGTATATCAAGTGTATATCAAGTATGTGTACACACCTGTGCTGAGTGCTCACATCTAGGTTACAGGATGCAATATATCGATATACTCACAGCTTGAACCAAATCATTGTCCTAGCTTATCCCAGTGTCAGCTTGTATATCAACATGATCAAGTATATGCACGGCAATCTGTGTGCTGATTGCTCACATGTAGGTTACAGTATGCAATATATCGATATACTCACAGCTTGAACCAATCCATGTCCTGGCTTATCTCAGTGTCAGCTTGTATATCAACATGATCAAGTATATGCACGGCCATCTGTGTGCTGATTGCTCACATGTAGGTTACAGTATGCAATATATCGATATACTCACAGCTTGAACCAAATCATTGTCCTAGCTTATCCCAGCGTCAGCTTGTATATCAACATGATCAAGTATATGCACGGCCATCTGTGTGCTGATTGCTCACATCTAGGTTACAGGATGCAATATATCGATATACTCACAGCTTGAACCAATCCATGTCCTGGCTTATCCCAGCGTCAGCTTGTATATCAACATGATCAAGTATATGCACGGCCATCTGTGTGCTGATTGCTCACATCTAGGTTACAGGATGCAATATATCGATATACTCACAGCTTGAACCAAATCATTGTCCTAGCTTATCCCAGTGTCAGCTTGTATATCAACATGATCAAGTATATGCACGGCCATCTGTGTGCTGATTGCTCACATGTAGGTTACAGTATGCAATATATCGATATACTCACAGCTTGAACCAATCCATGTCCTAGCTTATCCCAGTGTCAGCTTGTATATCAACATGATCAAGTATATGCACGGCAATCTGTGTGCTCAAAAGGTTACAGGATGCAATATATCGAAATCCATGTCCTATCTTACCTCATCATCAGCTTCTATATGAAGTGTATATTCAGCATATGCACATACCTGTGTTTGCCGTTCTAAATTTTATCTGAAAAAATGTAAGGTTGACTCATAGGAATGCATCATTTGGTTGTTAAATATTTGGAGCCTTTATCAAAGCCACACTTAGATCAGACCAAAAGCTTGAATCTGATTGGTGATTCTGATATATAGTGTTTATATAGGGCTTGATACTTCTCTGCTTTTGTACCCAACTGTTGGTTGCTTGGTGTGCAATACAAGCATGAATCACTAACAGAAGACATCTCTATAGTCCGAGGCTGGTTGTGGTGGGTGTATATATAAGAAACAGTTTGACAAGCTGTTTCCTAAATCAGGAATGATATATAGTATAACATATTGAATCAGTAATGCTACATGGTATAGTGAATCAATAATGACATATGTTACAGTAGTATATTGAATCAATAATGCTACATGGCATATTTGTATACTGAATCAATAATGATATATGCCATAGTGGTATATTGAATTATGAATGATATACAGAACAGTAGTATACTGATTCAATGTTGATATATGGTATAGTAGTATATTGAATCTATAATGCTATATGGTATATTGAATCAATCTTGTTGTATGCTGCGATCTATTTAATTAAAAAATGCTGTATGATGTAGTAAGGAAGATCATGTGATTCAGTCTTATGACATACATTGAATAATGCAACAAACTATAGCATAATGATCTATTGAATCAGAAATAAAGAATATCAGTGGCTGGAAAAATCGAAAATTGAGACATAATGTGCCTTAGTGGTCCTTCGTAACAAATGAATCATGGATGCACAAATGCTTTCAAGGCCTTGTCAATATGGCGACTTTAAGACTCTCCAGCATGCATTAGCTCCAACAGACTGCTTATGCTTCACTGCCTATGCTCCATGCTTACCCCTGCTTTTCACTGCTTGTGACCACGCTGTGCTTTAGTAGTTGGGTTTAGATGCCCGTTGTGTTCATCATCACTGCATGTAGTGGAAGTTGCTTGTAGCAAGAAAAATGTACAACTTTGTGGAAAACAACTTCTGGTTTATTTCACATAGCGAAGTTTTGATGTAGATTCTTACACTGATATCAAGCTGGAGTGATTCCTATTTGATATCGGTGTAAGAATCTACTTCGAAGTTGTTATCCATAAAGTTGCACGTTTTTCTTACTTGTTTTGCCAACCTCTAGAATGCCAATCAAAGAGTCCATGTAGCAGTTCATGTCACAGTCATGCTACTAGTAGTATGTCTTTGTGTCATCCCATAATTCTCTCATCTACAGTCATGTGACCAACACTTCCTGTTCCTTAGTTCTAGTGTAGTGTTTTGTGTTTAAAGTTTTGAATTTATGGTCCCAATTTTGCCTGTGCTGTTTGAGCATGAAGGAAATTGTAAAGAAACATTGAAAGAGGATACTAAAAGACCTGTTGCAGCAACTGGAAACGTCTCACAGTGATAATAACTTGGAAGAGCAACCCTGACTGTTTAACCACACCAGTGTGTAGGAAACGATTGTCTGTGCTGGTTTTATAACTGATCAGTCGGTGATCATCTAACATCTATTTCGGACCTGTAAGCTTAGCTGATAACTAGCCCCTAAGGGTATTCTATACTACTAAACACAAGTTAAGGATAACCCAATTCTGTCAAGTTACTATAGTTAATCGGTCATGCCAGACTGTGAAAACCGATTCTTTTCCATGTTTTAACGTAATTGCCGGTAGATTGGGAGAACACTTGTGAACAGCTGATTGCTTTTTCCGGTTTATTTTATGAGACAATACACACAGTAATCTTTATCCCTGCATATAAAACAATTCCTAGATGCAATCGAATAGGTAAATCATCATCTCTAGTGATGTTTAGTTGCAAATTTTCTCATTTTCATTGACAAAGTTTTTTATAGCCTTTTTCATTACAAAGTAGTTTTTTTGACCAACAGAAAAAGAGTTTGATGAAAGCGTAACCCATACATAAGCCGACCCTTTTCTACAGAATCTTTGTTCTGGTCCTCAATATTCGGCTTATCTATGTGATATACGGTAGTTGCTGCGTGAGTGTAGCTTGGCAGTTGTAGCATGCGGGGGATCAGAGTGCCACTAACACTAGCACTGTAGGTGGTGTGGACACAGGTTGTGTGTGGCTACATGTGTACTGATGGCAAGGTGTTGTCACTCAGGTAGCTCTAGATGGAATGTGGGGGCACAGATTGTACAGATGAGCAGGAAAAAGTCATCGGTGAGTTCAGTAATTGACAGATAATGTTCATTTGCTACACCTCCAGGTATTTCTTGTATGTTGGGAATAAATAACGCTTTGATATGAATATATGATATATCGGTGTGAGATTTAGACCACGAGGAGCCCACATCTAGTAATATTCAGCTAGTAATAGACCATATGTTGCTATATTCTACTGAAACTGATGCTGAGAGTCAAATTTTGGATAAAAATTCAAAAGCTTTTGGCGAAGATAATGATGCTGACTAAACATCAAAAAGTATTAATTATTGTTCAGAGAGATGCAAACTTTAATAAATATGGTATCAGGCTGAAATGACTCAGTATTTTGAAAGCAGATATTGTAAATACTGCCTCCCTGTAGTGTGACAATGGAGCACAAGGGCTCAGTTTAAAACACCACTTTGGCTGTGCAGAGTTGCGCTCCTTAGCCGAGCCAGGATCTGATTAACTCTGCGTAGGACCAACAGTACTTTGGATATAAAGAGAGTTATTCTGAAATCAAACTGCCGAAATTATTACTCATCTGTCCCAGGGACCTTTGTGAGGATAATTTGTTGTCTTTATTTCATATTGTGGGTTTGGGGTAACTAACTTATATCAACCATAACTATCACAATCTATCCATGTTAATATATTCATGTATGTTTTTGGTGTATGTTTTTATTCAGTATATTTAATAAGTGTCTGACAAGTCTGTTTGATTGGTAATTGCGAGAGTGAAATTCATGGAAAGTTAATGTCTATGCTATTCTGATTTTCACAATGAAATTGTTTAAATATGCATTGACTGCGATTTGTGGTTCATCATATATCTTCTATTGCATTAACAAGTTAACATACCATTTATTATATTGTTGATTCCCCAGAAATAATAGCTGTTATCTGACAACTCTTCCATTACGGTTTGAGTTAATAAAGAACTTGAACTTGAACTTGAACTTGAACCAAGTTTATGAAACAAAATACTAGTATAAAATAACGCCAATGTTTGTGTATACCAAACAGTTAAGTTTTACAGATCCTGTATACAGTAATGTTTCCATATAATGATGTCATGGACAATGAGTTGATCTGTTTTGTGTCATGGAACCTGTTTGTGATGACAGATTGTCAGCCAGAGTGATCTCCCCTTGATAAGCACCGCAGAGGAAGATGCAGATGACAGTTCCTCTGACCGACAGGGCCAATGGATGAGGCGTAGACGACTGGATGGGTCACTCAACCGTGTCCCTCTAGAGTTCTATCCTAGGCTGTGGACAGTGCTAGAGAGGGTAAGTCTGCAAATAAAAATGTTTGACATTTGATGAGTCAATAATTTCTAGCGTTTGCTGCCATTGTTTTGGGATAATTATCTTCAGCCATGAGTGGGCTACGGATCACCCAGTTGTCGAGTTGCCATCAAATTATAGTGTTAACACTATTTTACTCTTCCTGGTCATCTTGACAAGGGCACCAGCATTCTGAATAACCACGGACTGTTCAGACAGGTTACAGGACTTTACATGAACTCAATGTTGACCATCTTCCCGAGGCAAGAGAGTTAACTGACTTTAAAAGTCCAGTTTCCACCCTTGCCGAACTAGGCTGGAATTCCTGGGCTCGATCGTAGCGCCACCAGTGGTTACTACGAGTTATGTCCCTTTTAAACCTCTCCTATGGACCAATCAGATTCCTACTCTCGTATCACAGGCATTTGATTCAAACAAATTGGCGGCACCCAGTCAAGATGATAATCAAGATCTATATTGTGATTAAACGGGTCCTACATCGCAAAGTGCATCAAATCACGTGAGCACCTTGATTAAAATCGTGAAAAGATTTGGAAATATCTGTTGACAACGAGTTGGCGGTGCACATGCTTTGCAAATCCTGCAATTGACCGAAATCAGCACGACAGTTTACAAACCGGATTTCGATTTCGTTGCGCGATTTTGATTGGACTATCTATAGACTCGTTAGCCCAGCCAAAATGTAACTCCATAATACCAGCCTAGTTCAGCAAGGGTGGAAACTGGACTTTTATAGTCAGTTAACTCCCTTGCCTTGGGAAGATGAATGTTGACAGGCCCAATGTATGCATTTTCAAGTCGGCAGCTTTGATGACATCACATCTCTCATAATAACGTGACAAATCATTATCAAAATGGCTGATCGAAAATAGGTGTCATTTGAAAATAGGTCTAAAAATGTCTCAAATCTGCATCACTCAGGCTTTTTGCTATTCTGCGGACCTGCTGTGATATAGGTGAAATAGTTTCAAGCGGCGATATACTGAACTCACTCACTCACTCACTGTCCAGCCTTGAAACGAACATGTTGCCAACAATAAACATTTACAAGTATTGTTTTTTAAATATTCGATATTTATGCAAAAATACCAAAGGTCATATTCAAGTGAACAATTTTAAGAAACAGGCAGGTTTTTAAGGAACTCAGGTATTAACCTAAAAATGACATCCTACCCTGTCCCCTGTTAAATAAAAAAGGGATAAATGTGCACATGTTGATGGATGTACGAATAAAATAGAACACTAACATGTATAAAGTGTGACGTCTTCTTTGAGATAGAACATTACATCCATAAGTGGTGGAATTATTTTTAAGAGTTTAATACTATTCAATTGTACATTGATGCAAAACTTTTAACAGTGAATGATTTCACTACGTTCTATGTTCGTCTGTAGTAGAGTGTCAATTTGGTAGGATAGTTAACAAGTGCATACAACGATAACATGCACACATACTTAGGAGCTCTCTAGGGGAGGGTCATAAAAAACAATGCACATATTGCTTTTAGTGCTTTTGCATTTTGGACATAGGAGGACAGTGGTGTAAGGGCAGGGTGATTATTCAGTGCAATAATGCCCCAAAGACCTCTGAACAATGCAGGGATGAGCATTTCCTGCAGGTCCGAGGAATTCAGCGGATTTTCACTATATCAAGGGCCACTGTAGTGATACATATATATATACAATATAAGAATAAGTCATAGTGGTTAAAGCGTTCGCTCGCCATGCCGAGGACCCGGGTTCGATTCCAGACATGGGTACACTGTGTGAAGCCCATTTCTGGTGTCCCCCGCCGTGATATTGCTGGAATATTGCTAAAAGCGGCGTAAAACCATACTCACTCACTCACTCACTGTTTTTAAAACACCATTTTACATATCCCTGACAATGTATGACATGTTAATTCCAAATATGTGTTGGAGAGAACAGAGTCTGTTAGTAAAACTTAGTCGAATACAGAGCCCAGGCAAGCTGACCCAAAAAGGGTAGAATTTGTATATAATTCTATATGTTTTGCAGGATGTGAATATTTCCTATGTAACACTTTTCCATGCTTTTAGTTCAGCTGTTCCACTCTTGGTCAGTTAGCCATAAAGGTTTGTGTTATGTGTCAATAAGTATTTTGTTATTTGCAGTGCCAGGGACTGTCCATCAATGGACATATGTTGCTTGGCAGCTTGACACAAGAGGTGAGCTTGTACCGTCTCCCCATGGAGATTCCAGGGAGAGGATATCCCTACTAATGCATGGTCAGACTGAGTATGAATAACACTGTATGAATTGGCCCATGGTGTATCACAGTGTCCTGATGTTGAGAGTGTTGCTCACGCTATCAGTCACTAGGTTGTGTGACCTGCCATGACTATATGAAGGCTGCTTTGATACTGGAAAATTGTGGACTGCATGTAAAACAATATCCAGTCATTGTTGTGTTCTCGAGTTCTGTACTGTTCCTGTAGCTCCGTGAAGACTCAAGTGTTCAAGTGTGGAGTATGTACTGACACATGAGGTTGGCATATCAGGACATCCCTTGATATAACCATCTGAAATATCTTTTTATTAACACACTAATCCGTGAAGATCCAGGGTACAACAGGTCTTCAGCAACCCATGCTTGCCATAAAAAGACACTATTCTTGTCGTAAGAGGCGACTAACAGGATTGGGTGGTCAGGCTCTCTGACTTGGTTGAGGCATGTCATCGTATCCCAATTGCATGGATCGATGCTCATGTTATCAATCACTGGATTGTCTGGTCCTGACTTGATTATTTACAGGCCGCTGCCATATGGCTGGAATATTGCTGAGTGCGGCGTTAAATAAGAAACAAAACAAACAAAAACAACTGTTCCCGCAAAAAGTGTCCCTTGGGGTTCTGGGTCAGGTGAAATTGGGTTTAACGTCGCGTTATTATTGCACTGGGTGTGTGTGTGTGGCTGCTTGTACTAGTCCAGACTGAAGCTTGTTTAATAGTGCTAGCCCACTGAGATACCATGCTGCTGTTTAACGTGGATACCCAACTCAACATAGTATACAACTAGACATGCACTCCTCGTTTAGCCCCTTAATGCCAAGCGCCCGGTAACAAGTACCATCTTTTAACGTCTTTGGTATGATGCGGCCGGGGATCGATCCACTGACCTTCTGCTCTCCGGGCAGACACTCTAGCCACTATAACAAGTAGGCAGTCTTCTGGGTTGAGTAGGTCCCCAGTCACTTGTGCTAAGGGGGGGGGCGGTGGGGTAGCCTTGTGGTTAAGTTCCCTGTCACGCTGAAGACCCGGGTTTGATTCCCGACATGGGTACAATGTGTGAAGCCTATTTCTGGTGTCCCCCACCGTGATATTGCTGGAATATTGCTAAAAGCGGCGTTAAACCAAACACACTCACTCACTCGTGCTAAGGGTAAGAGCTGACTAAAAGGCCATGACGAGTGCCATCCTTGATCATGCTTTCAGTCACTGGTTTGCCTGGTCCAGCCTTGATTACTTACAGGCTGGTGTGATATAGCTGTAAATATCACTGACTACTGCATCAGACAAGTTTCACTCCCAAGGTGTGCTGGGATAGTCTAGTGGTTGAAGTGTCGGCTCAGGTTCTCAGATTTAATGTGAAGCTTATAATTGGTCTCTGTTGTGATATGGCTGAAATAAGCAGAGTAAACCACGAATCACTCACTCACTCACTGGTCCCTCCCCAGATGACCCCGCGGGAGTTCAAGTTTGCTCTGCAGGTGGAGAAGGTGTTGAACCTGATCCCGCAGCCTGAGTATCGCCAGCTGATGGTGGAGGCGCTCATGGTCCTCATCCTGCTGGTGGAGAATGATGGACACCACATCAACATGAAGTATGTCATTGAGGTGCACAAGCTTGTGGAGGATGCCAATAGACTCTTCATCAAAGATCAGGTAAGACTACCAGCTTCTTTAGATAGGTGATGGATCAAGTGAGGCAAATATGTCATTGATGGGGACAATCTTGGGGAGGATGCCCAGATATTATTCATCAAGGATCAGGTAAGACTACCAGCCTCTTTAGAAAGGTGATGGCTCAAGTGAGGCAAGTCTTTGTCATCAAGGTCGACAAGCTTGTGGATGATGCCAGTAGACGCTTCATCAAAGATCAGGTAAGACTACCAGCTTCTTTGTCATCAAGGCCGACAAGCTTGTGGATGTTGCCAGTAGACGCTTCATCAAGGATCAGGTAAGACTACCAGCCTCTTTAGAAAGGGTGATGGCTCAAGTGGGGCAAGTCTTGTCATCAAGGTCGACAAGCTTATGGATGATGCAATAGATTGGATCCTGAAAAGCTTTCGTGCAACTCTTCATCAGGCATCAGGAAGTCATCCAAGGTCATGTAAGATCAAGAGACTCTTTATCCATAATGAAATCAGATATATTTGTTGCCACATTATCCTTACAGATTTTTATCTTTACTTCACTTTTATCATTTACTTGCTTAGCATTGACATGATAAAAAAAGATGAGTGACCTTTCATTCTTTGTGGTTGTATGACACTGTCTTGTATTGACAGGGGGGGCAGTCGGGTAGCCTAGTGGTTAAAGCGTTCGCTTGTCACGCTGAAGATCCAGGTTTGATTCCCCACATGGGTACAATGTGTGAAGCCCATTTCTGGTGTCCCCCACCATGATATTGCTGGAATATTGCTAAAAGCGGCGTAAAACCATACTCACTCATTCACTTGTATTGACAGAAAATGCCTCCCGCGATGGTGCAGTCCAGTATGGGAGCAGCCGGAATCTGCCAGCATCTGTATGATAGCGCCCCGAGTGGACGCTTCGGTTCCATGGCCTATTTGTGTCGCGCTCTCGCCAACACCATGAATCTGCCTGTCAAGAGCAACGAGGATCTGGAATGTGCAATTAGCTAAAGAGGAAGGGGTCTTGACTCCTTTGAAATGGAACGAGCCATTCTGTGGGTTTATGTCTGTAGGGTACAATGAGAACATCTGGAATATGTTATTTGTCAGACAAAGGTGACAGTCAGTGTTGACACGACTGAGATGGAACAGTCCATTCTGTGGCAATATGTCTTTGAGGTATAATGAAAACACCTGGGCTATGTCACTTGTCAGACAAGGGGTCAGTCAGTATTGACACACTTGTGATGGAATGTTCCATGTTGTAGGAATGCATTGAGGTGTGTTGGGAAACACCTGGAATATACCATTATTCCAACAAAGTGGGCAATAAGTGTTGACACCCCTATAATGGAAGGTTCCATTTTGTGGGAACAGGATAGAGGTATGTTGAGAAACACCTGGAATATACCACCAGCTAGAGAAGAGGGTGGAATATTCTATCGTGTGGTGAATGAACAAAACCAGAGTGACAAATGGTGAACTTGGTGTGTGCCTAATGTACTAGAGGAAGCCATGTCTCTGTCAGGGCATACCGTGTGACGTGTGGTACACACTTTCTTATGACTTTATTGGTATCAAGACAACACACGGGGGTGAAGGAGTTGATGAATTATGAGAGTTCATTATCGTCTCTACATCATCTCACCATTTGATCATTCTTAATACCACGTTTTCTCTTTCCTCAACAGGGGCAGTCGGGTAGCCTAGTGGTTAAAGCATTCGCTTGTCACGCTGAAGACCCAGGTTCGATTCCCAACATGGGTACAATGTGTGAAGCCCATTTCTGGTGTCCCCCGCCGTGATATTGCTGGAATATTGCTAAAAGCGGCGTAAAACCATACTCACTCACTCACTCACTTTCCTCAACACCGGGGGCCCATTCCACAAAGCGATCTCAGCACTATAATTACCAGTATAGTAAGCCTATATTAAAGTATGGGAGTTAAGATCGTCTTTGCACTACGATTGCTTTGTGGAACGGGGCCCTGTTATTTATCTAGGATTCCAAACTTGATAGCAAATGCCCTTGGGATTTTTTATTAGAAGTTTTTGTTTTCTAAAAACAAGTTTTTAATACAGTATTTTACATTGCATTGAATGCACTTATGTATACCTATGTATTTATACTTCTTCTTCGTGATCAGTTATCGTGAAATACACATCTTTGACTACAAAGCAGCAAGAGTTCTAACTACCAGTATGTATAAACATAATGAATTGGGGAATGTTTTAATTCCAGTGAAGAAATTTTGGTGACATCCGTTGCAGACAGGGTGATGAATATCAGTCTCTGAGCAAGTCTAGATAAATCCCTGAACACAAAGTCAAAATAGATGCCAGGTCCCATTCCAAAAGGTTTGATGCTCATGATGTCAATCACTGGATTGTCTGATCCAGACTCCATTATTTACAGACTGCCATCATATAGCTGGAATATTGCCCAGTGTGGCATTAAACAACCAACAAAAACATATAACCAAACTTGACTTCTGTATAGATTGCTGAAGCTAAGATATTCCATATTTTATCTTAGCGTGTGACTTAGCAATAGCAGTACTTAAACTTCCGGGCAAAAGAAAGTATAAAGTAGAAATGGGATTTGACCAAACAATTACAAAAGTTCTCCAGACGTTACTACCCAGAATCAGTCATCAAAACACTCCAAAACAGGATACTCGTATCAAATACATCACCATTAAATAACCACTTCTTGTTTCAATTTTAGCCATCATCAAACAACAGTGTATTCTATTTTTGCCCAGAAGTTTCTATCGTTTAGAAAATTGGTTGTTATATGTTGTTTCTGTTTGGTCAAGCAGTACTTTAAAGATCATGTTGTTTTAATCTGAAGTACAAGATGAGGAGTTTCACTCTTGACACTTAAGAAAATTTGACCCTGATTATGATGAAATTACAGTTCGGGATTGTGTCGATGTATTCTTACATTTCTACATTTCTGTTCCAACAAAATCTGTCCTGGAGTTTGAAAGCCCAACACTGTTTCTTGGGAGACCATTGGCTTGGGGCTTGTCAGTCTGTTGTTTAAAGGTTTGAATATAGAAAACCAAGTTGTTCTGTACGTGAGATAGTGTTCCACACTGTGTTACAAGGAGAGGTTTTCACCAGTTTATGCATCCAATATAACCAAATATTAGATGCACATAATTTTGATAATCTGCTGTGAAGTATGTCATGTTGTCATTCATGTCGTACCTTCGCAACATGCGACACAGGTTCAGAAACTAGAGCTTGCCAGGCCTCACCTTGTCATAGGGACCCGTGAAGATAGAAATACATATGAAGATTCAGGGGTAGATTTTGTCTTCAGCAACCCATACTTGCCGTAAAAGGCGAATATGCTTGTCGTAAGAGGCAACTAACGGGATCGGGTGGTCAGACTCGCTGACTTGGTTAAAGCAAGTCATCGATCCCAATTGCGTGTATCGATGCTCATGATATCAATCATTGGATTGTCTGGTCCAGACTTGATTATTTACAGACCGACGTCATATATTGCTGAGTGCGGTGTTAAAAAACAAACCAACCAACCAGCCAGCCAACCTTTTAATAGGGGAATGTTGTGTGAGGACTCTTAGAATAAATTTGTCTGTTTATATTTCTGTCCCTGACTCCGGTACATTGTCTGCCGATATCTAAGTCTCAGCTCAGGAGATAAATATTGAATCTTGTATATATTGATATAGATATAGATTTGATTGTTCACAAAGTTATTTGAAACCGAGGTTTGACGTTAGATAGTTGAAGTGTGAGGTGTGTAAAGTACATCAGTGTGAAAACATTACTGAATAATACCAGTATTTGAAGGTGTTTCCTGATCAGAGTGGACTGTCAAGTAGTATAACTGCTCCACTTTGTTCTCACATTTGTAGAAATAGTTGAGTCTGTCCATGATAATCCAATCATGAATCCCTGGGCCATCCAGCAAATCCTCTCCTTGTGTTCACAGTTATCATGAAATTGTCTAAGTGTGTAGAGTTTGTTGTTTGACGGTTAACTCAAGTCACTGAATGCAAATCTATTATTGCAGTTGTATCATGTGTGCAATGATATACCCTATTCGACGTAATAAGCGCCCAGGGGGCTCTTATTAGAATGTTATTTTGGTGAAAAAAACAGTTGAAAGATAAATTTCGTGGTTTATGCGGTCAGCCTGAAATGTTTATGTACGACAGATATATTTTTCCAGAATTTAATTGCCCATAATTAAGGTTGCATATAACACACGAGTGTGTATTATGCCAATAAATAAGTCTTGTGTACATTGATCAATCCGAAGGGGTGCTAATTGGGATTGTTCACAAGCCAATATATTAGCAAATATCACCGAGGGCGCTTATTATGTCGAATATGGTACTCACTCTCTCATTATAATTTGTTTCAGAATGTTTTTGTTTTAAATACGAATACGGTATTTGTTCTCAAGAACTTTGCTGCAGTTTTTGGGTTTTAAGGGGCTGTGTATTTGAGGTTGAATGTTCCTACTAGTATATGTGTTATTGGTTCAACTTTCAGTGAACATGCATGCAGGGCCCCGAAATTCTTAACCATGATGTTGATTTCCTGACTTTTATTTTGTAAAAATATTTCTAATGCTTGTCTGTGATAAATCATTGTGTTCACCCAATAAATGCCTGTACAAATTGCCTGTTTGTCTGTCCTTGTGTGCGACGACGTGGTGGAGGATTTTTTATGTTGGAGGGTTTAATCTGTCCAGCTGTTACTTGCATGTCACCAAATCCCAGGCTCGCTGAGTTGGTTGATGCATGTCATCGTATCCCGATTGCGTAGATCGATGCTCATGATGTCAATCACTGGATTGTCTGGGCCAGACAATATTATTGACATACCGATGGAAATCCAGGCAAATCCGTGACGTTATCCCATGCCCCTCACGGACCCGCGATCAGCCGACTTAGATGTTTGTAGGACATCGGATGATGGGGGCCATTGCTCATAATATAATAACTGGTTTGCCTGGTCCCGACTTTTTACAGGCCACATTCAGATAGCTGGAATGTTAGCAAGTGAGGCGTTAACAACAAATGCGATCTTGTACTCCGATTTTACACTGTCAACCACAGTTAAATGAGGCCCAGGTGAAGATATGGGTCAGAATAGGTCTTTAGCACCCTGTGGTTGTTGTTGTAAGAGGCAATTAACGGGAATGGGAGTCAGGCTCGCTGACAAGGTTAAAGGGCAAGTTCACACGGAAATGAACCTATTTTTCTTGTACTTTTTCCACATTAAAAGCGTTAACATAGAAGTGTCATAGACAAAAATATAAAAACATCATATTTAATTAACATATTTTTTGCATAAAAACGATTTATATTTTTCACATTTACCAAGTGTTCTATTTCCATAACAAAAACACCATGGCTTATGCCCCTTGCAATATGACGTCATTGGTGCCAATTGATAAACATTATGACGTCATCATGCTTTGTTAGAGCCGCTTCACGTGGTGTAGGTACAGTTTTGTGATTCTAGCGTCTCAGATGCCAGCCAGAATTGTGTTATGCTGAGTCACCACTGCGCCGGAGTGTGTCGTAGACCATGTTGTTTAACCACAAACTGGTCCTTGATATATTTTGCATTGAGAATAGACAGGGACCCAGTTGAATTGGCACCAATTACGTCATAATCTAAGGGGGATAACTCAGGCCTATTTCGCTCGTAAAACGAAGGCCTCATAACGACATATCATTTTAACACTATTGTGAGCTTCCTACTTTCACTGTGAAAAAAATGAGCGTATATTTTCAAACACATATACTAACTAATTCTAAAATTGCGTTTTGTTTAGAAAAAGAAAGAAAGTGATTTTTGCGTGTACACTTCCCCTTTAAGCATGATGCTCATGATGCCAACCACTGGTTTGTCTGGTCCAACTTAATTATTTACAGACCGCCAACATATGTGGCGCTTTACTACAAACAAACATACATGCTTGAATTACGCATCGCGACTAGTCTAGGCTCAAATTGATCAGGATAGAATAGGGGCGGTCGGGTAGCCTAGTGGGTCACACCGAAGACCCGGATTATCCCGACATGGGTACAATGTGTGAAGCCCATTTCTGGTGTCCCCCGCCGTGATATTGCTTGAATATTGCTAAAAGCGGCGTAAAACCAAACTCACACACTCACTCACTCAGGATAGGATGGAGATTGAATATAGTTTAATAAATACTACGCATAGGGCTGACACACAACTGAAATACTTTTCAGAGCAGCGTCAAACCAACTCGCTCACATGGCAAAGACCGCCTCCATGGTCTAGCGGTGGAGTGTCTGTCCAGAGAGCGGAAGGTCCAGGGTTCCATCCCAGGCCGCAGCATACCAAAAGACGTTAAAAAATGGTACTTGTTGTTACCCTGTCTTACCCTAGTACAAGCAGCCACACACTAACATGTGCATGCACATCGCTGTATAAGTGCAATAATCTTGGACGTGATGTTAAAACCCATTTCACCTCTCCTCACTCACATGGCAAGCAGTCAGCTTCGACAAATACAACACTGAGACATTTATCACCACACAGATATATTTGTTCAGTGTATTCATATAAAAGATGAGAAATATAGATAACAGAATAAGTATATACATCTTCAACTGCAACACAGTGGTATCCTGATGACCAGCACGGGAACACAAGTTGACACGAACATTGACAGGCCGAGTCATCCTTGATTAGCCAGTGTATTAAATATCCATTCTATTGTCACATATACCCGGGACCCATTCTCCACCATAGCATTGTAACGGAAGTGATGCCACTATCACTCTTATCTCTTAGAACAGAATTTCTCTCGCTCATGAACTTAGGATCAACAGCCGATCAAAATGCCCCTTCTGAATGTGCGTTGGGCATTCAAAATCTCCAGCGAGCCCTCCATATACATTAAGTCAAAATCAGAAGACAACTATAAGTGAACTATTAGCTGGAAAAGATGTTTTCCAGAGTACTGGAACAGAGAGGGAAGTCCTCAAGCAACAAGATGTTCCAGCTGCATTTGAAATGGGTTGACAAAGTACAGGGCCCTGTTCCACAAAGTGATTTCAATGCTATGGTAATCATAACTTCAACATACGCTTTACGATCATCCTAGCGCTCGAATCGCTTTGTGGAACGGGGCCCTGGTGTTATCACCGCTTGTTCCAATCATGGAAGAACACTTTTATTTGATTGGTCTATTTTGCCGTGTTAGTCTAACCAGATCCAAAGGAAGGTATGGTGGTGATGGGTTCCGGGTACATTAGAACTGACATGGTACACTGGACAATGAAGGATGACAAAGTGATCCTAGCACTACCACTTTCTAAACTCCATGTCAGGGACTTCAGCCACTAGTTCAAAACTAATAAAGCAAAATCTATTTTGATCCAGTTGGACTAGCTAAAAAAATCCTACATGCTCAATTCAAAAGGAGACTTTAGGGTTGGTAGACTTGAAAGTGTTTGGCACCAACCGCAAAACCAACTTCCCACAGTTCAAGTTTGATTTGTGGATCAGGTTCCAGATCAGGGAAACAAGACGAGTGTCCGCCATGCTGATAGTACAGCTTGAGCTTTGAATGCATCCTCATCACCAGCTGATGAAGCAGCTGTTTTTTCAAGACAAACATTTCTGATGCCCTGGCTCTGGCTCATTTAGACAGTCAGGAGAGTGCTGTGACAAATTAATGTAAATGTATAAATGTTTTGACTTACATAGGCTGGTCTGGAAAATGCTCCCAAACATCACAGATGCAAACATGCTCTTTCAAACTGACACCTTAAACCAAACTAATAAGTACCGTATTCGACGTAATAAGCGCCCCGCTCTAATAAGCGCCAATGGCGATATTTGCTAATATATTGGCTGGTGAACAATCCCAATTAGCACCCCTTCGGATTGATCAATGTACACAAGACTTATTTATTCGCGTATAATACGCACTCATGTGTTATATGCACCCTTAATTATAGGCAATTAAATTCTGGAAAAATATATATGTCATATATAAACATTTCAGGCTGTCAGCATAGACCACGAAATTTATCTTTCAACGCTGTTTTTTCCACCAAAATAATATTCTAATAAGAGCCTCCTATTTCTAATTTTGAAAGCGCCCTGGGCGCTTATTACGTCGAATACGGTAAGCTTCATATAACGACAGATCAGTTGTTGGTTCTAGCCTCTAGAAATGTAAAATGCTGCAATGTTGGAAATTTCTTATCAATAATAGCGAGAATAATATTTCCAGAAACAAACTCCCACGTCCAGAAACATTACACCTCAATTGGCACAAAGGGCTCTCTTCACATTGTGATAGAAAATAATAGTCAAAATAACTTTAAACATGGATCATTCAGAAGTTGGGCAGTTCATCACTCAATACTTTGTGACTTATTTTAGCCATGAGTTTCCTGCAACATTTTGATCAGGAGTTAGATCTACCTTTCTCTACACTTTGATCATATTTTTGTATCCCCCCGGCATATAATGCGGGGGGAAATATAGTCATCATCTGGTCTTTCTGTGCATCCGTATTTCCTTTCTGGAGCATAATTTGAAAAATGTGTAAGATTTTTCGTCCAAACGAGGTCCATGTATAAACCAGGTGCTGAAGTAGTGCCTTTTGTTATTGTGGGGGCTGGGGGGATTTGTCATCTTCTGATGACTCTTGTTTATAAAGTGTGGTCACAAGAGGTTGGATTTTCAACAATCAATGCAGTATGGACCTAGACTGCAACAGTCAGGGTTTTGAACATTAACATCAGTTTCAACAATAAATTCCACTTACCGTATTCGACGTAATAAGCGCCCATGGCGCTCTCAAAATTAGGAACAGGGGGCTCTTATTAGAATATTATTTTGGTGAAAAAATAAGTTGAAAGATAAATTTCGTGGTTTATGCTAACAGCCTGAAATGTTTATGTACGACAGATATATTTTTTCAGAATTTAATTGCCCATAATTAAGGGTACATATAACACATGAGTGTGTATTATACGCGAAAAAATAAGTCTTGTGTACAGTGATCAATCGGAAGGGTGCAAATTAGGATTGTTCACCAGCCAATATATTAGCAAATATCGCCATTGGCGCTTATTAGAGCGGGGCGCTTATTACGTCGAATACGGTACTTATTAGTTTGGTTTAAGGTGTCAGTTTGAAAGAGCATGTTTGCATCTGTGATGTTTGGGAGCATTTTCCAGACCAGGGTTGCTTAAACGTCGAATACGGTATATCAAATATAGTTATCGATATGACAGATCTTCCAGTTTGTAAATTAACAGACCTGGTAACCATAGTAACATCATTGTAAGTCACTCTGTGTAAGCTTGTCAATAAAGCCACATGGGAAATTCACAGACACTCAAATACAATCTTGTTAAAAAAAATTATATATTTAAGACAAGAAAGAAAGATTTTGTAAATATAAAACTTTCTGCTGCACATTTTGACACAAGGCTGCTTCAAATACTCATTTCTACACTCTGGGATAACACTGTTTCTATTCCATGGTATCTGTAGGATTCCTGTCAAACCAGTGAACTCTATTGGGAGATCACAAGAACCTGTCGCCCATGCCAAAATGCCCCATTGAAATACAGTGATTCCTCAATATACCAGGGTCCAAGACCAACTGTTCGTTTACCTGAATTCGCTGAAGGGAAACAACTGGGAATTAAATCTCATCAGTTTGTTTGTCACTTTATTTGCATTAACACGCTTGTTAAGGAAATTCTTCAGGAATTGTTCGGAGCCGAGGTTAGCAGTACATCGGGGAGCATTATGTCGAAGAATCACTGTCTGAAACAAGTAAATTCTGTCCTGATTGGGACTAACATCGTTTCATAGTTATCACTAATATCAGTTTGTATTGGCCCTAATATTCAACATAAAGTGAAACTTTGTGAAATATATAGTTTGAGACATGGACCATATTATTGATAGATAGTCTACTAGGAGTTACCAAGATTTCACAGTATGATAACAGTGATTTTTATTATTGATAGATAGTCTACTAGGAGTTACCAAGATTTCACAGTACGATAACAGTGATTTTGCAAATGCCATTTGGTCATTTTAATGATTTAGCAAATGATTATAGGACAAAAGACATATATCTATATAAATATCTATATACGTCTTTGACTTGACATTAACAAAATTGAAAAATATCTAGGTCATTTTGGATGACAATCAGTCAATGTCCAAAAGAATTGAACTAATCTGAAACCTTGAAAATCTTTGATAAGCATTGGACTTTTATATAAAAATAACTGAAGTAATCAAACATATACCAATGCATCAAACTCTAAAGAATCAGATACAAATATCCTCAGGGAAACCATTACTCCTGAAAGGGAGATAACTCTCACTGATGACTTTATCGACAACCACTACAAAATTATTTCAACAGTGTTATTTTCCAGTGCAAAGTGATGATTTAGCCATCAAGCAGAATCCTAGTCAACTGAAACTAAGGTATAATGTAGAAACATTGAAACATGAAATAAACAGAAAGTGGCAGCCATGCATTGTATCATCAATGTTCTTGGACAACTTCTAAATGCTACTTCAAGACATGATATCACATCCTACCTGAGCCACAGAAAGGTTCAGAACAAATTTCTTGAACAAAGGTTGTGGAGACAGTGAATAGAAGCACATGACGGTGAATACAGAGATGCCCTGATGCATTCAAACCAGAGATGAAATGATACACCGACTCATGAGAGAGTGAGTCTAACGCTGCTTTGAAACGGTATTCCAATTATGTCACAGTATCTCAGCTTAGTTTGTGGCTCAGAAACAAAATCAGGAGGAACTGGGCCAGACTGATATGTAATCATGATAACACAAACCATGTACTTTACTATAGATGTTTTCAGGGGACAATTGCGTAATTTTGACACAGCAAAGACGTGACAGGAGCTAGTTTTCACTTTCACACTCATCATGATAGTTTAAGAAAATCAGACAGAATGGCGGACTTCATAAAAGCAGTAATATGTTTTAGTATTGCAGTGCACAGAGGTATCATTCCAGCCTTAATTTCAAGACATGTTCCTGGGAAGTAGAGCATAGAGATACTCGAGCACCAGGCAGTGGCATACTGAATTCTCAGACCTTCATTTCTAAAATGTCTAACCACTGTAGGGCACTCCAGATTAATCTGAGGATTTCTGAGGTTGTTCCAAAAGCCATCTTAGCGCTGAGACTCTCTTAAGTATGTTAAAGCTATGTAGTTGCATTTGTCTTAGCGCTATTAAGATCACATCTAGGATGAGTCCTTTGGCCCTGCTCCACAAAATGATCTTAGCACTAAGACTATCATAAGTCTATGTTAAAGAATGGGAGTTACATTTGTTTAAAAGCTACATCCCTTCTGAGATGAGGGCCTTGGCCAGGCTTCACAAAATAACACTAGTACTAAGACTATCGTAATTCTATGTTAAAGCATACGAGTTAGCACTAAGAAAGCTCGGTGGAACTGGATCCTAGACATGCTTGTAACAGGAAACGAAGGAAAAGTAATACTACATCATTTGCGTGATGGTCATGTACACCTCATCTGAGTGACTGGTTTACAGATGAACATAACGAGATTAAAAAGTGAGGATAAACTGTAATACAACTGACACACACTGTCAAAGTCCAGGGCCTCCTTCCACAAAATAATCTCAGCGCTAAGATGATCGCAACTCCCATAATTTAACATAGACTTAGGACAACTGTAACGCTAAGATCACTTTGAGGAATGGGACCTTGGTCCACATTCCACAAAGCGATCGTAATACTAAGATTAACAGAACTTCAATATTGAACAGACACAACAAATCGATCCACAAATTGATCCACATATCAATCTCAATTCCTGAAGTCAATGGTAAAGTATTGGAGTCACAGTCGTCTTAGCACTAAGATCACTTTGTGGCATGGTTTCCTTCCTACTCTAATGAAGACACAATTTCATTGTTAACACCAATGAAGCTGAGAACAGTAATGCACAATGATTTCTTCACTGGGTTATATGACATGCTTAGAGCATGCCTCACATACAGCATCGACATTTTGGCCAACATAAATAGGCCGTCACAAGATGAACCATTTGTGCTGTGACTTCTAACCATCTAAGTTGACTGCATGGAGGTATGCATGATGAGGATTTTTGTGTGCATATCATGTACATATATACAATATTTATTCAACGTCATCAATTTCAAAATATACACATTTACCATGTTCACACAATAAAAAATACTGGTGAACAGGTTTGGAACATAGTTTGTTATTAACGTATACTAAATTATCCTTGAAAAAGAATGTTCAATTTTCTGTACATTAGTCAAAAACAATTCTTTTTAAATGATACACCTTCATATAACCATTCATTATGCAATATATGGTTGTCATAAATAAGAATCTTCTGAGAAAAAATAAAAATAATAATTAATAAAACTTAAAAATAAATTAAAAAAAACAATTTTTGGACATATTTTGCTCATAAAGTACATGGCTATTTGTCATTCATTTATTTGTCAAACATAAAACATCTCTTTCACTTCAAGGTTTTCATCAACAATCATTAAATAAACATAAGTATGTGAGTGAGTATGGTTTTACACCGCTTTTAGCAATATTCCAACAATGTCACAGTGGAGGACACCAGAAATGGGCTTCACACATTGTACCCATGTCGGGAATAGAGCCCGGGTTTTAGGCGTGACGAGCGAACGCTTTAACCACTAGGCTACCCGACCGCCCCTTCAACATTCAGAGGGGGACAGATGATCTGTGTAGTGATAGTACAGACGATATCTCATGTGAGCCCCAATTCCTGGGTGTAAACAACACGAGAGAGAGATTGATGCTTAAGTCCACTTTTCGGCACCATGCACTTCAATAAAGAGGTAATACCTATCATGTCAATTTATCAGGAGAACTTGAATATGAATACTGTATTCTGTAGCCGGCAATGTTAGAGAGGATAAGAGTTAAAAGATGGAAAAACGCTGATGAAATGATATTTCATAGTGTTTGATAGAACTGATTTACAGTCCCTAATATTAACACTGACATTCTTTGTTCTGAGGTATCTCATCATCATCAGATCTGTGACACCAATATGATACCTCTTTACATGAATATCTGTGGACACCTCAATAAAAGGTCACGACAGGTGAACTTTCTAATCAGCCAATCAGCATCAAGACTTCTAAATCATGAATACAAATAAGCGTAACATTCGGATCAGAATATCTTATTTCCATATCCTGAAAACAAAGTTAATCAGTCATTTCCAAATGTAAATGATAATGCCACACCATTGATGTGTGCTCAGTGTGCTCAGGGTGCACCTGAATCGACTCCTATGGAGGTGTCCTATGGGAGCAAAAGACCTGATTTTAATGAGATTGATTTCTGGGGTATGTATATTTCCATTTCTTCATTAAGTGTGCAATGAGTACAGTACCATGGTCAGAACCATCATGATTCACTAGCGAATTACTCCACCCACATGATGATTCAATCACACATGACAAGAAACATGAACGTAGTTTAGCATTCACACCATATTAACTTAGTTTTTACACATTCTCATAGCAAAATACATGAGAATTCTTGCTTGCGTGAAAATAAAATTTGGTACAAACTAATAATGGACACAGATCACAGGCATTGCATTTCATGACTTTGTCCTGCACACACACACTGCCACCACCGGCCCACTGCGCTGGATCATACATCGACTGTGAGGAACTGAACCTCGTGTTCATATGGCGGCTTCCGCAGATGGAAGTATTCCAATAAATTATGCTTTGGTCCCTTGTTGAATGGGTTGTAAAACTGGCCTCGCCCGTCCTTCAAATACTCGTATCTTTTTCGGTTTATTCTCTCGTTAGTTGTCAAGTTCATGCCTGCATGTAAAACCTGAAAGGATAGAATATGAAATTGCATATATTTGAAATGGTGGATGGAAGAAAAAGAAAAAGGGTTTAAAAGCAAATATTATGTATGTTGATTGGTCTTAATTTAAGTGCGTGAGTAAGTGAGTATGGTTTTACACTACTTTTAGCAAAATTCCAGCAATATCACATCAGGGGACACCAGAAATAACTTCACACATTGTACCCATGTGAGGAATTGAACCCGGGCCTTCAGCCTGACGAACGACTGCTTTAACCACTAGGCTACCCCACTGCCCCCAATTTGAGTAATGGTGAGTTTGGTTTACGTTGCTTTGAAATGTATGAGTTATATTACAAGGTACCAGCTTGATGTTGGTCTCAGACATTGAAAACATTGGAGAAGCCCATGGGCACAGGCATGGGGCTGACAAACCAAGAAGCATAATCAGGGAAGATTTGGGATTCAAACCCATGATCATAGGCTTCTGACACATCTAAGGGATGCAACTCTGCACAGCAAAATGTGGGGCCTTAGTTTCAGGCCACAATAAATTAATTATTAGATTGCCATCCATTTTTTCTTTCCAAAAAGGTGGGAAGCGTTTCACTTTGTTTTCCTCAACAAGGCATGGAAGGTATCTATGCACATTGATTGTCGGTGGAGGTAATTCACATGACTGTTTGGTAGGGGAGGGCTGTGTATATAGTGTATTTCATAAAGTAAACAAAGGTGGAAACACACGTTTTTCTTCATCTGGAGGTACCTAGGGATATAATAAGGGTGAAGATGGGTGTTTGGTAGTTTGGAGAAACCATAGTATCTCTCTTCTATTTGGTTCACAAACAACAGAACTGCCCGTCAAGGCAGACAGTTCCCAACCATTTTCCCTTCCCCTTGCTAGTCTAACCTTGACAAACCAGGAAATCTCTTCTTTAGTTGGTTGCCAAGCAACAAAACTGATCGTCAAGGCTGACAGACGGATCCCAACCCTATTCCCTTCCCCTTGCTAGTCTAACCTTGACAAACCATAATATTTCTTCAGCGGTTGGTTGCTAAGCATCAGAACTGACTCTTCCCCTTCCTTCGCTAACCCTAGAAAACCATGATACCGCTCCAACTGTAGGTCCCCAAGGAAGAAAACCCAATGTTAAGGCATTCACTCCACACCCTACCCCTCTTCCTAGTCGGACCGTGATATATCTTCTTCTGTGACTCCCTGCAGATAAGAACTCACCCTGTTGGAATACACATCATTCCCAACCTACCCCCTCCCTAATCTATCCTTGACAAACCCTGACACCTCTTGTACTGTGGTTCTGAAGGAACACAACCCACCTTGAAGGGGGACACACTGTGATGGGCACCTACCCCCTCCCTAATCTATCCTTGACAAACCCTGACACCTCTTGTACTGTGGTTCTGAAGGAACACAACCCACCTTGAAGGGGGACACACAGTGATGGGCACCTACCCCCTCCCTAATCTATCCTTGACAAACCCTGACACCTCTTGTACTGTGGTTCTGAAGGAACACAACCCACCTTGAAGGGGGACACACAGTGATGGGCACCTACCCCCTCCCTAATCTATCCTTGACAAACCCTGACACCTCTTGTACTGTGGTTCTGAAGGAACACAACCAACCTTGAAGATGGACACACAGTGATGGGCACCTGCCCCCTCCCTAATCTATCCTTGACAAACCCTGACACCTCTTGTACTGTGGTTCTGAAGGAACACAACCTACCTTGAAGGGGGACACACTGTGATGGGCACCTACCCCCTCCCTAATCTATCCTTGACAAACCCTGACACCTCTTGTACTGTGGTTCTGAAGGAACACAACCCACCTTGAAGGGGGACACACAGTGATGGGCACCTACCCCCTCCCTAATCTATCCTTGACAAACCCTGACACCTCTTGTACTGTGGTTCTGAAGGAACACAACCCACCTTGAAGGGGGACACACAGTGATGGGCACCTACCCCCTCCCTAATCTATCCTTGACAAACCCTGACACCTCTTGTACTGTGGTTCTGAAGGAACACAACCCACCTTGAAGGGGGACACACAGTGATGGGCACCTACCCCCTCCCTAATCTATCCTTGACAAACCCTGACACCTCTTGTACTGTGGTTCTGAAGGAACCCAACCAACCTTGAAGGGGGACACACTGTGATGGGCACCTACCCCCTCCCTAATCTATCCTTGACAAACCCTGACGCCTCTTGTACTGTGGTTCTGAAGGAACACAACCCACCTTGAAGGGGGACACACTGTGATGGGCACCTACCCCCTCCCTAATCTATCCTTGACAAACCCTGACACCTCTTGTACTGTGGTTCTGAAGGAACACAACCCACCTCGAAGGGGGACACACAGTGATGGGCACCTACCCCCTCCCTAATCTATCCTTGACAAACCCTGACACCTCTTGTACTGTGGTTCTGAAGGAACACAACCCACCTTGAAGGGGGACACACAGTGATGGGCACCTACCCCCTCCCTAATCTATCCTTGACAAACCCTGACACCTCTTGTACTGTGGTTCTGAAGGAACACAACCAACCTTGAAGAGGGACACACAGTGATGGGCACCTGCCCCCTCCCTAATCTATCCTTGACAAACCCTGACACCTCTTGTACTGTGGTTCTGAAGGAACACAACCTACCTTGAAGGGGGACACACTGTGATGGGCACCTACCCCCTCCCTAATCTATCCTTGACAAACCCTGACACCTCTTGTACTGTGGTTCTGAAGGAACACAACCCACCTTGAAGGGGGACACACAGTGATGGGCACCTACCCCCTCCCTAATCTATCCTTGACAAACCCTGACACCTCTTGTACTGTGGTTCTGAAGGAACCCAACCCACCTTGAAGGGGGACACACTGTGATGGGCACCTACCCCCTCCCTAATCTATCCTTGACAAACCCTGACGCCTCTTGTACTGTGGTTCTGAAGGAACACAACCCACCTTGAAGGGGGACACACTGTGATGGGCACCTACCCCCTCCCTAATCTATCCTTGACAAACCCTGACACCTCTTGTACTGTGGTTCTGAAGGAACACAACCCACCTTAAAGGGGGACACACAGTGATGGGCACCTACCCCCTCCCTAATCTATCCTTGACAAACCCTGACACCTCTTGTACTGTGGTTCTGAAGGAACACAACCCACCTTGAAGGGGGACACACAGTGATGGGCACCTACCCCCTCCCTAATCTATCCTTGACAAACCCTGACACCTCTTGTACTGTGGTTCTGAAGGAACACAACCCACCTTGAAGGGGGACACACAGTGATGGGCACCTACCCCCTCCCTAATCTATCCTTGACAAACCCTGACACCTCTTGTACTGTGGTTCTGAAGGAACACAACCCACCTTGAAGGGGGACACACAGTGATGGGCACCTACCCCCTCCCTAATCTATCCTTGACAAACCCTGACACCTCTTGTACTGTGGTTCTGAAGGAACACAACCCACCTTGAAGGGGGACACACTGTGATGGGCACCTACCCCCTTTACAGTCAACCTTGACAATCCATGATACCTCCTCTCCCTGTGGGTCCCAAGGAACACAACCCACCTTGAAGGGGGACACAGGGTGATGGGCACCTACCCCCTTTTCAGTCAACCTTGACAATCCATGATACCTCCTCTCCCTGTGGGTCCCAAGGAACACAACCCACCTTGAAGGGGGACACAGGGTGATGGGCACCTACCCCCTTTACAGTCAACCCTGACAATCCATGATACCTCCTCTCCCTGTGGGTCCCAAGGAACACAACCCACCTTGAAGGGGGACACAGGGTGATGGGCACCTACCCCCTTTTCAGTCAACCCTGACAATCCATGATACCTCCTCTCCCTGTGGGTCCCAAGGAACACAACCCACCTTGAAGGGGGACACAGGGTGATGGGCACCTACCCCCTTTACAGTCAACCTTGACAATCCATGATACCTCTCCCTGTGGGTCCCAAGGAACACAACTTACCGTAAAAGCAGACACATTGATGGCAATCACCTCAAACACCACCATGAGGAGAATGCCTAAGATGTAATCCTTCCTCATCACCCAATTCTCCAAGACCAAGATCTCATATGCCATATACATAGACAACACACCGCATATGGCAACCAGTGTTACAAACACTAGAAAAGATCCTCTGCAAAAGACAGACATTAAGGGTAATGATGTTATATACAACTGGGATGATCCTTGTGTTCTGCTTGTACTAAGAGGTCATGGCTGTGGACTCGGTGACAGTGTGCTTAGTTGCAAGTGACTGTGACTATCAAAACAATTATTAACACAGACTTTGCTCAATGGTGGTATCAATTATTAAGGTGTTTCTCTTGAAGCTCCTTGGTATAATCACCAGGGCCCCGTTCCACAAAGCGATCTAAGCGCTACGATGATCGTAAGCCTTCATTAAAGTATGGGAGTTACGATCAACTTAGCGCTAAGATCGCTTTGTGGAATGGGGCCCAGATGCACAAAGCGATATTTACGATAAGACTATTATAACTCCCATACTTTCACATAGATTCAAAACTGTCCTACTGCTAAGATAAGTTTGTGGATCCAACCCTTCACAATTTTGTTTCTGATATCATTATTGCCAACAGCCAAATCCCTCAGAGTTGCAAGAACAGAAACACATGGATGATCCCATTCAAAACAGGGGCAAGTCTTACCGTCATTCCAAAGACGACAAAAATGGCTACAGTGAAAAATGCTGACTCTGCTCCCCCCAGGAAAATGGCCCAGTCCCAGCTGTGCTCATACAGAATATAGAAGGCAAGGAAGTCGGTGAGGAGGATCAATATGAACAGGCACAGCAAGTAACTACAGAACCACACCCTACAAAAAACAAAGAACACTTTGTTAGTATTGCTTGATCCTGACATATCGGCTAAGTATAGTGCCAACAATGTAATGACAGGAAGAAGGGTGTGTCGTTCTTCTGTTCAGTTATAATACAGCTGTATCGTGGCAGTCTGGAAACAACTGACCAGACCATGCAGCAGTCGATAGCAGCAAAATCCCATTGTATGCAATACATGATAACAGCCCAATTCCACATTAACTTGGCTCTTAATCCAAGCATTTGCTGTATTAAAAAATCCAAAAGGTCAAGGTCACAGCCACAAAGAAGACATGAGAGTACAAGATCAAGGTATTTGATAACACAAATCAGAATTTGAGGTCTATCATGTTCAAGTGGATATTAGGCATCCAGACTTAGACAGAAACATCAGGATAGGTCAAGGTCATTAAAAATATGACCTTCGATGTGTGCAAGAAAATTCATGGTGATCAAAGTCAACAACTAAGTGAACACATGGTGAAAGAAAGGTCATGAACATGCGTTCTTCAAACTGGCTTAGGTTGTTTTATAACTTGGAACTTGATATGTCAATATTTACTGGAATTAGAAGTAGATTATCAGACTTAACCATCCATAGTCCACATGTCATTTGCAGTAAATCTATGCTGTACTTCACTAAACTTTAACGTACAATCCAACATTGCTCTGGACCCCTATCCTTGTGTTTATGACAGCAGAAAAACTCCTTCCATAAGAGCAGTCTTGTTGATCAATACGAAATGAGAGATTATTTCATCTTTTACATTATATAGGATTTATTCTTTAGATTATGAGAGATGTCACTTTATCAAATTTCTTCCAAAGTTGAGATCCAGTTCCGTGAATTTCACTTATGGAATACACTTCAGACAAAAATGTGCTATACCAATCACTAGACATACTGTTATGGTTTTAGTGGGAAAGAGGGATAGGTTTAATGCTGCTTTGAACAATATTCCAGGTATATTATGGCGTGTCAGCATGGATGTGGGAGTATGGCCCGAAGTGATGCAGTCTTAGATGGTTACGACTTTGGAGAAACCAACAAGCAAGTGTATGGTCGTGACAAACCTGGATACATAATTCGGCCAGCTGTACCTTAGTTTGGGTTTTATCAAGGGTCTTCTTTGTAAACATTTGACACACCCATGGCAAATTAAATTTGTTTTAACGCAATCCAAAGTTTCAAAGTCAAAGATATGAAATAAAGTATCTGCTTATCATGTGATTATTCAATAATGAAATAAGTTGTAGCAGTATCATGGGGGATATAAATTACATCAAGTCTGTCATTTTCTGGCCACATGCATAATGTCAGGGCAAAAACATGAATCCCTTCACAACCATTCCCATACTTCTGTCCATGAGTATATATCATGCATGCCTCAACACAACCATCATCACCACCACCACCATCACCACTATCACCACCATCACCACCATCGCCACCATCACTACCACCACCATCACAACATACATGCATGTCTTCATATAGCAGACTGTTACTCACTGGAAGGTTAAAAAATAACTGTCAGAACCATCCTGATATATACTCACCGTTAAAAGAAACGCGAACCATAGAAACATATAGAGAAATATATAAGTTAAGAAGAGATTTTTCCAATGTGTACCATTTCGTTTGTGCGTCGAACCAATCTAATATCTCTTGAATAGGAGTAATTCTTCATATATTTGTAGAATTTTCCTATTCGGAATATTCTATAAGTAATACGTTACCACTGTTATACCGAGGCTGTTGTCTCCCACAACTGCTGCTATAGCGAAATCTACCACAGAGATCTCAATTACCTCATGCAGCACGTGCGTAGCCACCTAGCTGCCATGTGACACCCTTCACTCTTGTCTCCTGCGAGAGCAAGTGCTCGGGGGACGGACAGGCGGGCAGCAGCCCAGTGGTAACGTATTACTTATAGAATATTCCGAATAGGAAAATTCTACAAATTACATTAAGTAATACGTTACCACTGTTATACCGAGGCTGACTACCACAGTAGGCGGTGGGGAGCACCTACAACCCGAATCCTGACTGCTAGCGTTCCTTCCGACCAGCGGAAGTAAACACCAAGGCGGAAGCACTCGATGCGCATGCACCTAGCTAGGCGTTACCCTATAGGAATACCAAAGCACTGTCAAGCGCATACCGTAAGGCTCAATCGTCAATGCCAAAACGATTGGTGACTCCAAACGGCCCCACTGGATAGGTATTTCATCGCCGCAGCGGATGAGAACACTGTATCCGCGTGAGCTAAATCTTAGATCAGGTTAAACAGTCGAAAAGAGGGAAATTAATTTCCTTCAGACCGTATATCCCAGAGCAAGCCTACTTAAAGTATGCATTAGGCGCGTGACCTAATTCCAGTATTCGTAAGCATGTATCGCAAGGTTGGAATACACGACAGACAATTAAATGCATAATTGTCAAAATACAAATAAGGACAAAACACACAAAAAGCCGCCTCACCTGTGGTGTGAGTGCGCTGGTTTGCAGGACCCCCACTCCTGTACCCACGGCGTGGGAACATTGGAGACGACCCAGATTGACCACCGTGCAAGGACTGACGACTGCGGAGTTTGGAATAGCGCTGGACACACCCCCTAGATAACCGCTTGTGCCGCGATCAGCGGCCCAAGACGGTGCACCCCCTCCACGTCTTCATCAGAAACCTTTCTGAGGTAATGATTGGCAAAAACCGAGTCAGAACGCCAGTAACAACCTCGTAATATTCTGTGAACAGAGATATTCGAGTGTAGGGCAAATGTTGCCGCTAGCGCCCTGATCTCGTGCGGGTTTGACCCCGCTACCGGTAACCCCCGAGACCGGTACGCCAGATTGATGACAGAACGAAGCCACAACGCAATCGAGTTGCGAGTTATGTCAACCGTGCGATTAGGGTTACACGATATGAACAGACGGTCACGCCCTTGTCTACGTTCATTCGAAGCCTTAAGGTAATACTTAAGGGCCCTAACCGGACACAGCGCTCTGTCCTCAGTATCAGCAGGATGTAAGATTTCTTTGAGGGATCTTACAGTGAATTCTCTCTCCGTTTGCCCGACTCTCTGATTCTTGGCGACGAAGCCCATGAGCAGGCCCAGGCGGACCGCTCCTTCGTCACCCCTATCGAATCGTACCTTGGCGACATCGAGTGCATGAATTTCGGATACACGTGCCGCCGTGGCAAAGGAGAGGAGAAATGCTGTTTTCCAAGTCACATGCCGGAACGAAGCACTATGCAAGGGTTCATACGGAGCTTCCGTGAGTGATTGCAACACTAGGGAAAGATCCCAGGCCGGAGCCCGAAGGCGGCCCTTCTTAAGATCGTGCTGTTTGAAACCCTTGATAATACCCCGTATCACCGGCTCTTTGGAGAGACTGGTACCCATAGCAACGTCCCGTACCGTAGCAACGGACGAGACATAGTTGGCAATGGAACCCCCGGAGAGTTTCCGGGTCTCTCGCAAGTGAGACATGAAACAAGCAATATCCTGCACAGATACCTTATCTGGCGAATGAATGTGATGTTTACAACACCACTTCGTGAAAATAACCCAACGTGCATTATACACCTTCTGGGTAGAATCACGATGCATACTAACGTATGCCCGAAACGCCCGGCGAGAAAAACCTTTACTCCTCAGACGCTCGGTGACAACATCCACGCGTGCAGATTGAACTGCCCTGCGTTTGGATGAAGCTGACGGGTGTGAGGGTGGATCAAGAGATCCGGTCTCACAGGCAGTGGGAGTGGCGACTGCGTGACCTGGGTCAGCAAGTCGGGGTACCACAATCTGTTCGGCCACATGGGCGCGATCAGTAACATTCGACAGCGAACTCCTCGAAGCCGGCTTAGAATGTGTGGTATCAACGCTGTCGGCGGGTAAGCATAAGCGTCCAAGCCCGTCCAGTCTAACGCGAGAGCATCGTGATCGATGGCCCTCGGGTCCGGGACTGGTGATACAAACAACGGGAGTTGATTGTTGAACCGTGTTGCGAACAGGTCGACCATCGGACGACCCAAACGTTCGCACAGCCACTGAAACACCACTGGGTTCAGCATCCACTCTGTGGGGCTCGGATCCTGAGGCCTCGATAGAGCATCGGCCAGTACGTTCCGCACACCTGGGATGTGACGGGCGCGTATCTGGCACGGGACACTGTCCACCAGAGCGTAAAACTCGAACGTGAGATCGAGTAGCGAGTGACTGTGGGTTCCCCCCAGTTTGTTCACATAGGACACTACCGTCGTGTTGTCGGTCGCCAGCATGAGCCGGGC